CACTACTGCCTACAATGACAGGATCTGGTACAGTCTCATTAGGTTGTAGAATTCTCTGTAGATCTCTGTCTACTTACCGAGGACACTACTGCCTACAATGACAGGATCAGGTACTGTCTTATTAGGTTGTAGAATTCTCTGTAGATCCTGTCTACTTACCAAGTCCACTACTGCCTACAATGACAGGATCTGGTACAGTCTCATTAGGTTGTAGAATTCTCTGTAAATCTCTGTCTACTTATCGAGAACACTACTGCCTACAATGACAGGATCAGGTACTGTCTCATTAGGTTGTAGAATTCTCTGTAGATCTCTGTCTACTTACCGAGGACACTACTGCCTACAATGACAGGATCTGGTACAGTCTCAGTAGGTTGTAGAATTCTCTGTAGATCTCTGTCTACTTACCGAGGACACTACTGCCTACAATGACAGTATCTGGTACAGTCTCATTAGGTTGTAGAATTCTCTGTAGATCTCTGTCTACTTACCGAGGACACTACTGCCTACAATGACAGTATCTGGTACAGTCTCATTAGGTTGTAGAATTCTCTGTAGATCTCTGTCTACTTACCGAGTACACTACTGCCTACAATGACAGGATCAGGTACTGTCTCATTAGGTTGTAGAATTCTCTGTAACTCTTGAAAAAAGTCCATAAATGGTAATACACCTTCCATGTAGAATTCTCTCAATCTAAAATGGAAGTTAAAACACCTTGGTTAATATACTACCAACCAGAGATGATATGTTTGAAGTAAATATAATTGAAATAACTAAAAGAAATTGCTTTTATTGGAAATACTTATGAACAGGAGAGAGATAGGTTCAAATATACAAATACATGACTGTACATATATCATACAAGGAAGAGTTTTAGTGAAGTGAGCTGCCAGCTACACCATGTACCTGTAAAATTCTCAATACATTGCTAACTGACCACTCCTACACTTCTCTGAATCTGACCTGATTGTAAAGTTATCTAGCATAGTTGATTGTAGAATAACTATCTGACCACCCTTGCACTTCCCTGACTAAGCCAGGGCTTCCAGTTGACCTTTGACATTTAACAATTTCAGAAGTCGAATAAGAATTTCCTGATGTTTGAAAGGTTACAAAGCATGTCAAATTTACATGTGACCTTTAATTTCGAACCCAAGAGTCTAAGTTCATTTTGGGGAGTCAAGAATGTGCTCTCCGTCTGTAAAGTTATCTAGCAGATTTGACAGTAGCCTAGCTTAGCTAGCTGACTACCCTAAACCTCCATGACTGACCTGTCTGTAAAATTATCCAGCAAAGTTGGCTGTAGGATAGACTGTACTTGATCCAGAAGCTCCTTTAAGGACAAGTCTGGGCTCTGTACAAATAAACCATATCAAATCTTCTAATAAAGTATACAAAAAAAAGAAAACAAAAAACATACATATTGTCTATCTCACGCTTTGATGGAAATTGAGCTAAGTGCAAAATCTAACCAAAGTCAGCTGAACGTAGGTTACTTCACCTTAAATTTTTACATTGGTGTACTCCTCAACATATATCTTCATGTACATCGGAATTTTGATAGTACTGGAAAATACATGGAGCTAAACACAAAGTTTGACCAAGATGTACAATGTAAGTACAATGTATCGCAACTTCATTTGAAGACCAAATACAGTTAATTATATAAATTCTCCTTTCAGATACAGTGTGTGTGTACATTGCTGGTAGTATAAAAACAAGACATATTAAATTGACAGCTTACATTTTTTAGGGAGAAATTATCTTCAGTCTGTTCAAAGGACATTTAACATGTTCATTTATTGCTAAATGGACTTTCCCAAAAATAAATACTTGGTAATGATATTTTGACCTGTAATAATTTCAAAATTGTGGTCATGAAGTCCCGTTTCTCAGTTTCTGTGAATTTCTGATACATGTATCCTGGAACCTGATGGCCAATCCCAATCATCGGCTCTGTTGTGTCTCGTTTCTTCATTTCACAGTACTCGTATATCAGAGCTAGTAGCGCCACCTTGTGAGGAGTAACATGTTCATGTAAAGGCTTCTGTCCGTGGGCGCCAAACACAAATAAGTCGGTTTTACTGGAAGTTGTCATTGTCACTTGTTTGTCCTTTGATTACCATCTGTTAATTATAACCACTTATCTCTTCATATCCGGAAATGTTGAACGGATAATTATCTAAAATAAATTTAAGAGAACAAGTTACTTACAGTATTTTTAATATCTTCATAAAAAGCTACTGTCACTTTGATTTCAAACCACATATATATGCAAATAAAAAATTGGATACAAGAAGAGTTAGGACATCGAAAATGTAAAATAGGTCATAACATTGTCAATATGAATACATTCCTCATTGAAATTCATTATTGGTTAAACAGAATATTTTCCAAACATTTTGTCAAATAGTATGGTTCTATGAAATACCTAACCAGAAGTTAGCAGAACATCATTCAATTTTTTTATTGTAAGTATTTTACAATGTGTTACTCTGCTTTGTGGGTATATATTTAAGCATTAAACTGCTTTCATTTAACATTTGTAGGCAATATAAATTCCAAATTGTTTAGTTAATTTCCAGTTGGCACTCATACTGACAATGAATGTTTATGCATGTATTTAATTATCTTTTTAATGTTTTTAATCTGATAGAAAATAACAATTAATCAAAATTAGCAAGCAGTTCAAATGAAATGCATACATCTTCCAGGAAGAGTCCTGTATAGGTGGTAACTTGTATCTATAATTAGGCCTATCTAAATAATAACATTGCAATATTTCAAACGACATCAACAATTCGGTCACAGGCCTAGGGTTGACATAGATGATGTTAATAGAAAATAATTGGTTTGATTTTTGGCAGTCTAACATTATAACCAAAAATTGATCAAAGTTATATATACACTTGAATAATATACCAAATAAGGTAATTAAATATACCTGTCATCATAAGTTCATATGACTGTTGTTTTTTGTAAGAGTGTTAAAGCTGAACAAAACAAAAAACTTCCAAAGCAATACATACAGATACATTAATTTCACAATACAAGCATATAATGTACGGGATACATACATATATATCTATTCAAATATTACAAATTTAGTGTGTACTCTATACAGGTACACATGTGTATTATAACATACATCAAATCTTATCTTATCTTAGGTCAAGAAGACAGTTAAAATGATGGCTATATATATATATAGGCAGCACACTAGAACTAGAAACGGTACAAGATCTTACTACATCATCACTGGTCTAATCTTTTAACCTGATCTGTATTGCTATCATAACATATATGTAAATTTATTTCTAGTATTTATGCTCTAGAAAGCTAAAAAGGATCATGATTTGATACTAGGTCAAGTTAAAGCAGTCTAGGTACTATATGGTAGCATGCACCTTCATCAGCCTCACAGATCTAGAGCATGATATGCTGGTCGGGACTGAATTGCCAAGGTAAGGCATTATGAATATACTGGATAAGCTCATATATTTTAGTGATTGGTTTTTACATACCAGGTAATAAACTTCTGAATTTTAAACCTTAACCGTCTACCAGTAGTGCATTTAAAACACGGTAAACCGTATATTTGAACTTTACTTACTGGAAACAATGTTAGAGGTTATTCAATCGTTTGGTATTATATCATCTATTCTAAACAACAATTTGCAAAAAGGGAATCAGGACTCATAAGTGTGTTAAAGAAATAATCTTTATATCTATCAGGTTAGATTATATTTATAATCATGATCAGGCTCTCAAATTTATAACTTTTTTTTATCCCAGGATAATCAATTGACAATTATTCTACATATTCTTCTTTTAGCAACCATAATTTTGTGTATTTTCAAACAGATTATGTATGTACTTAAAATCCAGATCTATTTACCCAGGATGTTAACTTTATTTGTAATTATAATTTCTCTGTATAAACTAGAACACTGACAGGTCAGTAAGGGCCCCGTCTTGTGGCAATATATCTCCAATAATCATCAAGAAGCAATCTGCCCATATAGCTGATGAGCTTGACGTTTGACATTTGGACTTCAAAAAGAATCGCAAGGAAGCAAAATATACATTTTATATGTACTATGAAGTGAGTCTTGTTTCCTTCCACCTAAATATTTGCTGAGCTAAGAAATGTAAATACCGGTGCAATACTCATTTGTTAGCTTTGATTTGTTTTATTTCACCTTATATCCCTCCTCCATCAAGAGCCAGGGTCAAAGTCAGAGATCCACTTTGTCTTGGACCTTTGGACCCAAATGACCTTGTCCATTAACCCAGTGACCCTGATCTTTGGTCAGTTGACTTAATCTTTAATTCCGACCGACTTTGCTTCTTGATATCAAAACAAAATGTTCATCAGTGAAAAATACAAAACTTGACCTTGACCCTTTGGACCCCGTAACCTGGACCTAAGGTCAGTTGACTCAGCTGTGTTAAGTTCTGAACAACATTGCTTCATAATGTTATAACAAAATGTTCATCAGGGAAAAGGTACAAAAATTAACCTTGACCTTTGACCCAATGACCTTGACCTTTGGTCAGTTGACTCCTTGTTTAACTCTGATCAACTTTGCTTTAAATTGTCATAACAAAATGTTCATCAGTGAAAAGATGTAAAATTTGACCTTGACTTTCGAACCTAATGACCTTGACTTTTTACCTCAATGTGTATTTTTGTGAACTGAACATATTGACCAAGTTTCATGTACATTGGTCAATAAATACCAAAGTTATCAGCCAGGAACATAGTTTGTGGACGGACAGACAGACAGACAGGCAGACAGACAGACAGACAGAGTGATTACTATAGACCACCCGTATCTCAGATACAGGGCCCTAATTAATTAGGTTCAGTTTCGATTATTAACCCCACCCCCTGGTATACCATTTTTAACTAATCCCATTACAAAATTGTGGGATGGCATTGTCCACATTACACCAACAGATTCCTAATGAGTAAAACAATGATAGAAATATGTTTGTTTTTTCTAACTGGGCTTCTATTTCATTTGGAATAATTTATCAACTGATCATGTGACTTTGATTTACAGTGATGTGACGACAGCTAAATGAGTTCTTGGGCATGAATAAACACATACAGTAAACGTCTCACTTTTGATAACCTCATGACCTTGGGTAGTGATTACTGCTAGCTTTATATATATTTATAGCTAGGTAGGTTGGAATTCCTGCAATACCGAGTAACTTCTGGAAACTTTTTGAATGTTAACAAATCTCCAAACAGTGCCAGGAATATAGGTTACTTCATAAATACACTCTTGGTAAGCTATATGTGGTAACTAAAATATAAGAGGCTTGAGTAAGGAAGCTGGCCATTATTATGATAGCTGCTAACTGAGCATCAATCAAAGTCGCATACTAGAAGCTTATCAAAGTAAAACTGCTATAGAGTTATACAGAATCCAATATTAAAATCTTCAATAGAACAACTGCACATTGGTGTGAAAGTTACACAAAAAGATTCTATGTCCAATCTTCTTAGAAATATTGATCAATGATATTAAGTGACCAGTTTCTGTGCCTGTCTATATTTATAGCACACATAATTGTATTCACTCTAGATATGATACGTTACCTCCATAGTCAAAAATAATGAAAGTGTATAATCTGGAGAAAATGTTTACAGTATTATATTTACACTTGTATAGACTTCTACAAAATGTTTTGCATAGAATATACTAACCACAGTAATTTTATTAAGAAGGAAATTAACAGAAAAAAACATATAAGGACATCATACTTTTTGACACTGCCTGTAGAATAGCCAGATGATGAACCAAAGCACATGATTTTGTTTACAGAAGACAAAGATGAAGCGTATATTTCTATGGCTTCTATTTCAGTAGAAAAGCTACTTTTCCATGTGTGTTTGAGTAGAATAGTGTGAATTTACTTGTTTCTTCTTCATTTTCTTCAACATTAGACATTACTTTCACTAACGAAATGAAAAAGACATGAGGGCTTACAGTATGCATGCAGCAATGTGCAATATGTCAGGGCACAGAAACAGGTAGAGCACAGAAGCAGGTCCTCAGACGATAATTTATATAACTATAATTGGTAGACACACAGTTTTACTTTTAGGCACAAACTTTCAAGCCCAAATATATATGTATGTCTTTAGTCAGATGTACTGGAATACCTGCAAATCTGGCTATATAGGCAGATTTGGCTATATAATATTGTTATATATGACTATACATACCGGTATATAGAGCGAATGTAAACAAACAAATCAATCATGGTCGCAATTTCATGATACTCATTGAAAATTTGGTGGACAAACAGGTTAGTCGGTAAAACAAAAGGTTTTTATCCAACCCAATTTCCAGTGACTTTGTTGATTTTCATCATTGCAATTCACTAGCATATTTTATCCTCTGTATCTGATGGTTACAAAGGAATATTTACAATTTTTGTACAAAAACGACAAATATATTTCACTCCCAGCACATTAACAACTTTCACTGCATGTTATCGTTCCTACTCAGAAATATTTCCCTGAAAGCACACCTGAGGCATGAACCTTTATCTTAGGGATGCTTATCATAAGGAAGACATTGATGCGATATCAAATAGATACACGCTGTAATTTTATACTAATAAGGGACATATGTTGACAGGAAAGAAATGCAACGATGGAAATTCACCAAATCAATTAAAACTTATCTAGTCAGACAATAATCTTTTATTCACCAACTCACCTGCTTGGTTAACAATGTTATCAACGTGCAAGAGATCAATATTACCAGTATGGGATTGTTTGTTTACATTTGTCCTATATATATGTCACTATATAGCCAAATTACCACTGCTCCAGTACCTGTTAGTTTATAACTTCAATAATAGGGATCCTGCTTGATCCCTGCCAATAAAATTCTCCCTAATATTGGCAGGGAACAATTTTTTGTTTGAAACGTGTGACTATATTTTTGTATTTATTTATATTATCTGTCAATAAAATTCTTCCTTTTCTTGGTAGGAAATATTTCCAAATTTGAAATGTGTGACAGTTTTTCTTCTTCTTTTAAGTTAGCATTAATGTCGTTGAACATTTTAAAATATTACTGATCAGTAATACTCAGTCATATTTTCCAGGGCCTTATACAATGCACCAATGACTACTTTACTGTACTGCGACTCAGTAGAGCATAGGGTACTCCTATAATATATATGAGGCCGCTGGTCGGCTTATTTTCTATTGGATATATGATTTTGCCAAATGCTACGCAGCGCCAGTGTCAAAAGTAGATTGCCAAACCTCTAATGTGTGCTTGTTCACCTAAGCATCATTTGCACGGGGATACTTTGAGACGATTGTGAATCCCTGTGCAGGGATAATCCTGGAGGGGGCATTGACCCCGGTAAGGAGTTGTTTCGTACTAAATCCTGTTCGCTCTAAGGGTTGTCGCGCCCTTAATCCTGTTCACCCTGATTTTTTTTTTATTTATACGCTAATATAATAATTAATATTTAAATATATCAGAGACGTAAATACTACTGGCTTTATATGTCTCTGAAATCGAATATATCAACTTAACTTATATGATAACTTTCTACCTTGCTGTAAGGTTTATTTCATGTTGGTTTTTTTTATATAAAATTGATATAATGATATGGGAGACTAAGAAGACTTAAATTGTGACTTAAAACTACCAAATTTGAAAGTTTTTTTTTGTTTTAGGGCGAAACAACCCGGAACCATTGACCTCTCATATCTGAAATTGAACCCTCCTTGTTCTATTTTTTTAAAATTTATATATATAATGGCCCCTCTAATTTTGATATTGACTAAAAATTGCTGAAATGGCCCATTGCTCTCAAATTCCAGGATTTTCCCTGTTGTGGCAATGTGTTATCAGTAATCTGGCATTAAATGCACAAGCAAACAATGAATGAAGTAGATACCTCAAAACCGGAACTATTATAACACAACTGGGCTGCATCCGCGCAGAGCATACCGTGAAGATCAATCTGTAATGTCAATACATTCACAAATTTTCAACTTTACCGCCATATTGTTTTAAATTCGGAAGTCTTCTAATGAAAGAGGTGTTCCGAACAGTTTTTTCCAAAAAGTTTTATTATGTTGATTATTCAGAATCCTTACAAAGTAAAACAATTCGAAGGGTTTGTTTAAACTTTATTTCCTAACATATTCGTAACATCGCAATATTTGTTATGAAATAGTCAGAAATTACATTTTATGCCTACAATGTAGCTTTAACTTCCGCCTGCGTGTCAAAGGCGCACGCATCCATGGCTGGAAAATGGCAGACAGTGCGAAACGAGAGAAAATAGCCGCTGCTCGAAAGAAGGTTTGACACTCTCAACACTAGAACTCAATGATATTTAAGCCAATACTAAATCGTTTAATTTAACAATCACATAAGCTTGTTGATTTGGCTGTCGAAATTAAAATGCTTTTGTTAATTCCTAAAATATGGGGCAATGTTGACACTGACAGATGAGAAGGGCCGATCAGAAACACCGGCATCAGGGATGGAGATGCAGTGGTCGTGACTGAGAAGGAGTTTCTAACCAACCTTAGCATGCATATTTATCAGTGACTAAACAATTATATATTTGTTTATGAAATGGATCATTAGTTACGACATGGCTTGGCCGCTAAAGAAATTCCATATCCCCTTTTTTACCCCCTTCACTCGGACCTAACTACTAGACTGTCGGACACCATGACAATGCTGTCCCCAGGGGTATGACAATGCTGTCCCCAGGACGACACGCTTTAATGAATTCCGTGGACAGCATAGTGTCTGACCAACTAAAATTCGTATGAAGTCTACCGAAAACTATAATGCACATGATATATGGTAAATCATACATAAAATTAAAGAAAAAGAATTATGACAAAATTGCAAAGTTTTCTGGAAATTTTAAATGGGTCATTTTACTAGGGGAACAGAGTTAGCAACCTATTCATATTATGGGTGTATTGCACTTGACAGACAAAACTAGTACCTTTGATGTCACCAGGGCCGCTTTCGGTTGGACCCAAGTTATTCGTTAATGAAATATGGTAGGACCTAGACTTAGTGTCTGATGCTGCTTTCAGTCGAGTCTTGACTAAGCTTTGCAAGGCCTGCATAAAAACATTTTGTAACCAAAAAAGTTACTTACAGGCAAATGAAATAAGTTGTTTTCCACAAAAACGAACAGACCCAAATATTTGAATTTGTTGTGTAACAGGTTTACTTAGGCCAAAATAAAAAAAGGTGTCTGTTTAGGGTTCCCGACCGACCCTAGCTTTTTACTCCCGACCCAAAACAAAATTTGCCTCCAAATGAACCTTGTTTATGTAATTCTTTGTTTTACATACTATAGTAGGGTCATAATCACATGACCAAAAATATACACAAAAAAAAATATCCGACCTACCTACCCTATTTTTTTGCCAATGCAACCCTAAACAGACTATATATATTTTTTGGCCTTAAACATATGAGCAAGATTGCCTTCTAGCTTCAAGCTAAAGGAAATGTGTCTTGACCTCAATGGGTAGAGCATGTCAATCTGGTAGGAAGAGGTTGCTGGTTCAATCTCCTGTGTACATGTGATTCTTTCTGAAAATGTTGATGGAACATGAATATAATGTTGCTAACTAGTATCATTATTTCAGTGGTTGGATTTGTACCATTGTACTTACAGAAAGTTGTGATTTACAAATGCTTTTGAGACTTATGCTAGATTTATGTTTATCAGTATATCACATTTGTTTGAATATCTGTTTCTTTTATTTTCAGTTAAAGCAATTTAAGCAAAAAACAGGAAAAAACTCGCCAGTCAACCCCAAGACTTCTAACAAACAGTCGGACAAAAAATCTAAATCTAATTCTGCTGAAACTGATTTATCACAGGAAAACCACAGTGAACCAATCAATACTGATCCCGTCATTAATAACACTGACCAGGTTAGTGCTGCCTTCTGTATTGTCATACATATATAACCAACAACCAGTGTTGAGGAATATTTATATTTATCTTAAGGATGGCCGGTCTAGCAGGCTAGAATTAGACAGTATACAGCATAAGTATTGATACAGTATATCAGTAATGGAAACCTGGATTCAGAGTCGCTTTTCTCCTAGGTTTTAATGCTTGCTTTGTTATATATGTAAAAATCAGGTGTTGGAATGAATAAGTAAATCAGATAAATACAAAGACAACTCTTACAAACAAGGTACTTTCAGTACATAATGTTCATGTATCAACTGCGTCCTCCATGTGGTTTTAGATAAAAATAACCTAGATTTGGATTGTTGTCCTAGGTTCTACAGGATAACAGTTACAGCAAACAGCTGACTGCTGATACACAACAGATTATTCCTGATGCAAGGTAAGGGCTAATGTAGCAAATCATGAATCCTAAGGTGCTAACATAATAATGTAATGAGGCTGATTATTGAAAATAATTGTTGATATTTAATTTGTTAGAAACTGTATATCAGAGATGCAGTATATGACAAAATCCCTTTGCCACTAGTACATGCTGAATGCATGATTAAGTTTGCCAATTTAGTCCACACAAGTTGTTGAATCCAACGAGTTCTTGTCCCTTTATATCCCCCCCCCCCCCNATATGAAGAACCCTATTGGTTTTGGACGTGATCTGCCAGAGGTCAAGGTCACTGTTGTTAAAAAATAACACTGCTTGGTTGGTCTTGTTGGGATGAGAATTTGAGAACGAATGTTCATGATCATACAAAGGTCAAATGGTTTGTGGGCAGCCCTAGTGGATGCAAATAACCGATATTGATTTTTGTCTTGGCAAACTATGTCCCTAAATAATGATTGAATAAAATGAACAACTTCATACCAAATAAGTAGGGATTAAGACAATAAGTCCGAGTTATACTTTGAAAATTTGTTTTCTTGTTATTTTTTGATACAGGAATTTAAGAAAATTAGGAAATTATCAGCAAACAGAACACAGTGGTTTACTATCACCTCTGTTTGGTGTGGAAAGGTATTAAACCAACAATAACTGTCTGACTCTTTGCCTGTTGTATTTATTCCAATTTCTAATACCTTTTCTGTTGAATGAATTTTCTCAAAACGTTTGCATGTACCCAGATTAACTTCTTCAGAATATGAAGATTTCTTCATTTTCATATACCTAATATCAGGTGGTGAACATTATATCAATATTTACTGATGTTAAAAAAACCATTTTTCTTTGTGATTTATTTCTCTGTATGTCAAGTTGTTTTTTTCCCCATACATCAAATGAGACATATGGTATTAAATGAAGTACTGGTACTTCTGATAACATCTTGTCTTTTTCATAACTTTTAAACTGAATGAAACTCTTAAGTAGTATGCGTCACCCGCAGAAGGCGTTCAGTGCACTGTAACTAGGTCACTGTGATCTCTACTATACTCTGTAGGTAAAAAGTCAAATCTAAGCATAACATTTTCAATGAGATCTAGCTGGGCAATATCTTAAATAAACAATCAAAGGTAATTTTGATGAAACTTCATTTTTACTTGCATCACACACTCAGAGGGTGAGGGGTGCATTGTAATTAAGTTACTGTAACCTTTACCTCGGCTCTAGGTTTAATGTCAGATAAGTGTCAACTTTGCAGTATAATTTTGTCCAGGCTATAGATAATAAATTTTTAGGGATAACTTGATGACTTGGTGAGCAGTGCATTGTATTTATGTCATCATGAACTTCACCTCTAGGTCAAAGGTCAAATAATGATAATTGCATATAAAAAGTAATCGGGAGAGAGATATTTTTGTTCACAAAACAAATCATTGTTTTCAAGTAAAAGACAAAAAAAATATTGATCAATATATTCATTCATATGTTGAATTATTTTATTCAATCCTACATTCAATTTTTTAATGGTGTATAGCTTACTTTTTAAAATGTGTTTTCATTATATTTTGCTAACATTTTTGTTTTAAATTTGTTTTTGTTATTTATTTGATTCAATTTGAGGAAAATATGGAAGAATAGATCTAGAGATAGGTAGTCTGACCCACTCAAAGTGAAACCTATCTTATGTAAAAGACCATTGAAAAGAGGAAACAAGAATAGTCCTCGCTAATTTATTATAAGTCTAGTTTAAATTTCATTGTCCTTGATGTCAGACAGCACACCCATATCCTCATATTTTTTGTGTTGCTTTTTCTTGGGAATGACGTCAAGCCTGCATATCATCTTCCTTCATATCATTTACTTGCTTGTAAGTTTCCATATAATCATGCTAGATTGAATGATCCTAGATACCTGACAGCATTTTAACAGTTTTCATAATGCATTAGGTCTTGCACCAAAATAAACATCCCGCCTTGTATCAATGACATAAAGCCCAATATCTAAACAGAGGAGCAGTAGTGTTAGAGAGGAGAACTAGTATTGTTGGAGTGTGATATTGTGATAGGATCAGAGCATCCTGGTGAAATGTTGTAGTTATTCTCATTGTGCTGATGTAGAATCCCTTTCTAGGCAAATCTAAACCTTATACATGACTCCTGTCCCATTACTAATCTTATTCTAGAAACACTTAAAATAATAAGGTCATACTTAATCAATTTCATAGGAGGTATTTTTCGTGAAAGATTTGATTTATCAATGTTATACACAATATTTTTTACTAAACTCTATTATAATATCTTATGTCATTAAATGCATCGACAGATCATGATCAGAAGAATAAGTGCTTTAATATTTGCAGTGGGAAATTAGACAGGTCATGAAAACTTGATTCATGTAATTGGCAATACTAAATGATAAGAATTATTCAGTTATACTATATTGTTATAGGGTTATGTCATAACATTTTTGAGATTTTGTTATACTTTAAGTTTAGTGGGGCACATGCAATGTCTTATGGCAATTAAAAACCTGGCTATGACATCTAATAATATCTATTTTCTTCATGCAGGACATCAGCATCTACTGAAAGTTTGCAACAGCTGTCACGACAACTCAACGGTCTTCTAACAGAGGTCAGTTCAACGGAAAAAGCCATTTATTTAGATAGTGTTTTGTTCATTATGGAATCTAGCCACTGTTTATCTTTATTTATGAACACATCTTATCGTGAAAAAGTTTCCCGTTTGAAAACCACTGTTTTAACAGCATTATCTAATATTGCAACAATTCAGTGAAAGGTACATGTACATTTGATGACAACTATTCATATTTCTAGCACCACTTCGGTTAATATGAAATGACCTGAACATTTACCAGTCCAGGGTATCAACCTGACAAATAGTTGACAAGAATGAAAATAAAACCTCTAAAATGAAGAAGAATATGTTGTGTGGTACCACTTTAATGTAATAATTGTGTTTTATCTTTAGTCTACTTCTTTGATGGATACAACAGAAGAGGACAATGCTAACATAGTAGAATTAGAGGTAAGACCAACGCTACTGTTGATTGGTACAACAGAAGAGGACAATGCTAATATAGCAGAATTAGAGGTAAGACCAACGCTACTGTTGATTGGTACAACAGAAGAGGACAATGCTTACATAGTAGAATTAGAGGTAAGTCCAACTCTACTGTTGATTGATACAACAGAATAGGACAATGCTAACATAGTAGAATTAGAGGTAAGGCCAACACTACTGTTGATTGATACAACAGAATAGGACAATGCTAACATAGTAGAATTAGATGTAAGACCCACACTACTGTTGATTGTTACAACAGAAGAGGAAAATGCTAACATAGTAGAATTAGAGGTAAGACCAACGCTACTGTTGATTGGTACAACAGAAGAGGACAATGCTTACATAGTAGAATTAGAGGTAAGTCCAACTCTACTGTTGATTGATACAACAGAAGAGTACAATGCTAACATAGTAGAATTAGAGGTAAGACCAACGCTACTGTTGATTGGTACAACAGAAGAGGACAGTGCTAACATAGTAGAATTAGAGGTAAGGCCAACACTACTGTTGATTGGTACAACAGAAGAGGACAATGCTTACATAGTAGAATTAGAGGTAAGTCCAACTCTACTGTTGATTGATACAACAGAAGAGTACAATGCTAACATAGTAGAATTAGATGTAAGACCCACACTACTGTTGATTGTTACAACAGAAGAGGAAAATGCTAACATAGTAGAATTAGATGTAAGACCCACACTACTGTTGATTGTTACAACAGAAGAGGAAAATGCTAACATAGTAGAATTAGATGTAAGACCCACACTACTGTTGATTGTTACAACAGAAGAGGAAAATGCTAACATAGTAGAATTAGAGGTAAGGCCAACGCTACTGTTGATTGATACAACAGAAGAGGACAATGCTAATATAGTAGAATTAGAGGTAAGACCAACGCTACTGTTGATTGAGCTAGAGTCAAACAGGGTGTCTCTGGCTCAGTTCACAAAGAAATCACTACAATGGGTGCAAAAGTGGACTTTTAACAATGGTGGTCTCTTAAGGTGGCTCCACACATCGTCATCAGCGTCCATTTTCGTGACGTACTTCCGGAAAAAGTACAGCTCGGACTCAATTATCTTGATCGAAATGTGTATATACACCATGTCGTCAATTCCGTATTGCGTATCGGGCATTCAATATTGTAGTGCAAATTATAGTAACACCTGGGCCGTTTTCGTTTAAACGGTCAAACCGATCGGACCACTGTTGTTCGTTTATTAAATAAGGTTGGACCTTCATACACATTTGCAGGTCCGCCAGGATTTATACCCGAAATTGTAACATTTATAAACGGTCAAACCGGTTGCTCCGCATAAACGAACAGGCCCCTGTTAAACAATAGTACACGTGCGTGCCGATGATATGTCAACACCCGATATCGAGATTTTACCGGGAAATGTATAATCACGTACTTCAGGAATAAAGCTTTCCAATTCATAGACATAAACAGACTCACGGGAAGACAGTGACATGAGACCAAACGACCTCAAGAAGGTCATATAGGAAACGCATGTAATGCGGACGTACCAACCTCACATGTGCATATCACGTGCTTACACAAGTTCATGAGCTCGAGGTTGTTACGATTTTCGCTGTTGAGGGAGTTTCGCTCTGTCGATTAAATCGTGTTTACAAATGTAGTCTACTTACTCTGTGAAAATAATGTTTTGTAAAATATCAAGATACCTATGAAATGTATGTGTGAGTGCACGTGAGAACGGCATACCATGCGATAGCCTCTTGTCACATATGTACCTGACATGAAATTATAAATATACCGTGAGTTAGCGGACTGTGGAATGATGTCCAAAGTGTACATGACTGAGGGTAATTTGGTTCCATTAAAGAACAATAATTTGATAATTTTGATATCATATTTTTGATTTTTTCCCATCATTTTTGTTCTATGTAAACAGAGACAACTGTCATTGTGTAAATGTCACCCCTCTGCAAAAAGTTCAGATTTTTTTCAAGGAAGATAACTCTCACCCGGATCGAAGTGATTGTAGAATGTAAAATAAATGAATTATAAAGCCATTGTGTATATTTTGTTCAATTTCCCATTCTATATATATAGATCTTTGTGTCCTGTTTGCTTTTAGCTTGTAGATAATCACTTTTATCTGTACAAATTAAATAAAAAATACTTTGTGTAACATGTGTTACATATTTTGCGATAAATACAATATTTGTAGGGTTAATTAGAAATGCTTCTTTTCATTTTATTATTGTTGTTATTGTTCCGAACAATGCCACACACAAAAAAAACCCGGAAAATATTAAAATTGACGAAAATTCATTTTTTGGTATTCTTCCAAAAAAGTCCCCAAACTATCGGAATGTTTAGATTTTCATAAAATCAACTCTACATAGTTGCATAACCATTATATGAAAGTTTCATCGAATTTTGCTGGTTAATTGCGAAAGTGTGGAGCCACGTGCACCTTAAGTACATGACTACTGTTGTTTGGGTTATTTAGTGCTATTTTTAGTATTAAATGACAAACTAGTCAGATTTCGAAATGTGAGTCATGTGTAAAATGTTTAAATGCTGCAGTTCTTAAAAATTCAAGATAGGACATGTATTTGTGTTTTTGCGATTATGAAAGTGCTTTAACAAAAAATTAGTTTTCTCTTCTCCCTTTTTTTTCTTTTTCAGAGAAGGAATAGGGAATTAGCTTCATTGCTAGAAAAACACTCTGAAGCAAATGAACAGTTGAATATCCAAGTTCAACAAGCAGTAAGTACAATGCTTTGTTCTTCATAGTGGGTCAATATTGTATTTAAGGAAAATAAATGACACGCAAAGAAAAGTTATGTCTTAACATTTTTTTTATCAGTATAAAAAAAAAATGGATTATAACCCTCGTTGCTTAATATTTCATTTTTAGTTCACCATAATTTCTGATTATCAGTTTAGCGCTAGAACTATAGTGTTTGTACTGCTTTCCTACTTCATGGTTATGTTGCAGAGGGAGCATGCAAAAGCTCTACAGGATCAAGTTGAGCGAGAGCGGAGTGCATTTGATGGCAAGCAGCGTCAAGAAATAGGACCACTCAAAGAACAGTTACAGGTATGGTTTGTAGAAGAATTTTCTTTTTCTCACAGCGGCAGCCCTTGTCAGTATTGAAGTATGACATATCAAACAGGTCTACTTGTAATCTGGTTGACTGTTTAATAAATTGACAACTGAAAAATTTGCACTGATCAAATCAGATTGGTTAGAGTGGATACATTGTATTACATATATATCAGTTTACTAGAGAGAATCTTAATGAGATCCTAATGATAACCGTTACCCGTTATCTATATTTTATAGGTGCATATACAAACCATTGGGATTTTAGTGGCTGAGAAAACAGAACTTCAATCCCAGCTAAACCAATCTCAGAAGATAGCAGAGCAGAGATTCAGTATGTATTTCTCCTTTTGGTTTTGTTCCTAATTGAGGTAATGAAAATCCTAACCTATACAAAAAAAAATCAAGTCACATTGATACCTTTTTGTTTATAAAATAAAAAGTGTAATGACATTTAATGTACAAAGAATTACTTATTTCATTGATATTTACTTTGTTAATGTGTTAGATTAAATGTAAACATATTTACGTGAGCACTAATCTGGTCATTTCTTAAACTACAAACTCTGGTTCACTAAATCACCTGTAAATGCTTTTGTAAAATGTTGTTAAAAATTAAATGTGTTATCTGGTATAAGGAGTTGATACACTGGGACAAAAACTGATCAATTTTTTTTTTTACGTTTTAGAAGAGATCGAAGAATATAGTGGGCGATTAAAAGCTTCTCGACAACGAGTGGCAGATCTAGAGCGGGACTTTTCAACATCCAATAATTCTAGTAAAAAATTTGAACAGGTACAGCTTTTAAAAGTGACAGTATTTATCTTGAGAGAACAGTATTAATTTTACAGAAAACATCTGCTTTACAGAAACATCCCCAAATTAATTAGTCCTCATTAGATTTAATTCTGTATACACCCCAAATTATGTCAGAGGTGATTTAAATAAAATACCCAGGAATATCTCTTACAGCTGTTTGATTTCATGCGGAAATATTGATTTGATATAATAAAATCTTCTAGGAAATTATTAATAAAACTGATTGTGAAGCAGAATCATATCATCCAGGAAAAGTATATAGACATTTACTATTTTTGTCCGAGTGATATGGTTGAATTCTGTTATTGAAAAGTAAATTGCATACTTCATATCAGAAACAATATAGTGTATTTAAATGTCTAGGCTAAATGAAATAAGAATATTTCTCCAATTGAGATTAAGAGAAAAATAATATTTTTTACCAAAATAAAAAAAAAATAGAAAATGTTAATCTTTAATCTTCTTTTTCTTTTTTTCCAGAATAGCAAAGATTTTTCAAAAGATGTTGACCGATTAAAATTGGAGTTATACAAATCAAAGTAAGTAAAAAAAGATGTTTTATGTTGGATATCAGTGGAAATTTTCTGTGAATATGATTTTACGTAAGATGGGAAAATTAGATCTTTAATGAAATAGAAAAAAAAACGTTTCAGCTTCAAGTTTGGTGACATGACATTTGTAACTTAACAATTTTTATGCACATACAAGATTGTACAGTGTATTCATTTCTTATTTTCAGTAAAACACAAGAAGATCTAAAGCAGCAGTGTTCTGAATTAGTGGAAAAGTTACAAGCCAAGGTTTGTTTGAATTGCTACATGTAAGGGAGATTATGGGATTTGATGGAGAGTAAAGTGTTTGTAATGTTAAAAGTTTTTCACCTACCAGTATATTGTACATAACATCCTGTACAATTAAAGTTGCTTTTAAAATTGTATCTACTGCTGGTAGTCTGTTTAAAATGAAGTGGAAAGTATATGCATTTTAATATGAGAAAACATGAGCAATTATAAACTAAAAACTGTTAGATTGATGTAGATTTATAGTTTGATAAGACTGATTAGTTACTGAACCATATTTTTCATCATTAAATCAATACTTTATAATCTTCATAGGCATCTGTACCTCATTATTAATAAAGCCCATACTGTTCATCTTAATAGGCATCAGAATCAACAGCAATGGAACAAAAGATAGGAGATCTGACAAAGCGACTTGAAATGTCAGAACTGTACACCCAGCAATTGTCAAGTCAGGGGGACAGCAAACAGGAATCTTTAGCGATCATGGATCAACTACAACGAGAAAAGGAACTCCTTGCCTCTCAAGTTCAGGAGGTGGGTAATATTTACAGTAGACTGGACTGTTCTATTGAATGTAGTGTAAAGTGCCTTTAAAAACATGTTTATGCATTAACTTAATGTTTGTTTTAAGAATCTGAAGTGTTCCTGTAGATTTTCAGAAATTTGAACAGTTTAAACAGGCATTTCCTGCTTTCAGTATATTTAAAACTAATATATAGCATTATGCTGTATGATATTTCGATTTAAATTTTATGAAGTAATACTTGTAAAATAAGTTGGTTCATTTTTACATAATATCAATTTTTCTGTTGTCCACAATTTTGTTTGCTATTCACTGTAGAAGAATCATATTTTGATAATTTGTTAACTGAGATTGTGGAAGTTTGATCTGTAAGTTGTTCAGGAATTTCTATCGTTGTAGAGATATTGAGTTAAATAATTACACACAAGGTGTTGACATTATGTCCACAGTACTCTGAAGCATTCCAGAAGGCGTGTGGTGAGCGAGACCAGGTGGCGGATCAGTACAAGTCTTATATAGATCAGCTACAACAACACAGTCAACAACTCACCGAACAGGTATAAAAAAAATGTCACAAAACATAGTCAACAACTCACTAAACAGGTATAAACAAAATGTCACAAAACATAGTCTACAACTCACCGAACAGGTATAAACAAAATGTCACAAAACATAGTCAACAACTCACTAAACAGGTATAAACAAAATGTCACAAAACATAGTCAACAACTCACCGAACATGTATAAACAAAATGTCACAAAACATAGTCAACAACTCACCGAACAGGTATAAACAAAATGTCACATGTTGTGTTGTCTGTCTTTGTACTCTTTTCAAGTAAACAGTAAATGGAAGGCATGACAGAAAATGATTGAAAATTACAATGGCTGTTCAGTACTGAAGATTACCAATACTTAATTTAGCAACTGTGCAGCAAACAACATTTTCATAAAGAATAGAAATGCAAAATAATGGGAAAATAACCGTTCATATCATAGATACACAGATTTTATTCTGACTATCGGAATGTTACATTTCCTGTGCTTTCAGCTGTATTATTTACATCACTTCTTAAAATGTTTGTATTTAAAAGCTTTAAACTGGCATTGGTTCTTGTAGCAATAAAGCTTGATAATTTCTAATGACAAATGGATCAGTCATTCTGCTTTGCATATTATACACTAGATAATGATTTAACTTACAGGTGACAAGTTTGACAGAAGAACGTGAAGTAATGGTGACACAACAACATCAGTTAGAGGCCAGTATACAACAACTACAACAACAACTAGGTAGTACCTACATCAACGGTTTTTTGTTTTGTTTTTTGCAGTCAAACTTATTGGGAAATCAGAAGTTGTAGTAAATTTCAAGTCAAGTTAAATGCTAGCAGATCCAGATCTTTGAGTTATTTTGTCATTAAAGTTAAGTACATAATCTACAAGCAATACACTATTTATGCATCATATCTGTCTTTATACATGTATTTAAAAGACATTCTTGATAATTTTTGCAGAAGTCACAAAAGTAGGACATAGGATATCTTTCAAGCAGTGTAGTCTAAGTATTTAAAGATTGTTTTTATTAATTGATATTTTATGTACAAGGTATTATGTTGACACATTATTTTGACTTGTCATCACACAAATGTTTCTCCTGTAGAGGATGTAAATGCCAATCAACACCAACAACAAGAGACCAACGTAGCGATGATGGAGAGGGAAAGGGAGATTGACTTACTACAGAAACAGCATCAGGATCTCCAACAACAGCATGACTCACAAATCAGGGATAACTCACAGCTCAGCCGGTAACTGTCACTTTAATATAGGGCTTGGAGTCTATGTAGTCAGGTCCAGTCTCAGAAACACATCACAGCTGGACTTGTTTTTGAGTCCTTCTTGTACAGGGCATGTAGATTATATAATCTGTAAGAGTTTAATAATGAAAGTTCATGAAACCTAAATATGCCTTTGTTAGGATTTACCATACATCAATAGAACTTGCACGTGACAATAACAGAAAATAACATATTAAGTATTATGTTTACTTTGGAGATTTACCACTGTTTGATTACATTGAGTTATCAGAACACCAAACAAGTAAGTTTGGCAAATTGCAAGATGTTCAAGGGGACTAGGTAATATCCATTATTGATTATTATGGGTAATAATCGCTCGTACATGAATATCTAATGCGAAATGTTCGCTGATAGATGATATTGATGCTACTTGATTCAGATCCTGTCTATCTATTATTGACCTCCTTGTTAGCTTAAAATATGTTTTTGTTTGAGAATGTTTTTCTTATTCTCTGGTAGGTTACTGGAAGAGAAAGAGGCCCGGATACTGGAGCTTGAGAATGACATGTCAGAGATGGGGATGGAGGCCAGTGATAAAGCTCAACTGTTGGACAGTATACAGAGCAACAAAACAGCCCTCAGTCGTGCTCTCACCCAGAACAAAGACCTCAAGAGCCAGCTGGCTGAGTTACAAAACGGATTTGTCAAGCTGGTTAGTGCAACTTAATGGCTGTTTACCATTATGGGTGAAATTATTGAATGCAAATATATTTTCCCATATTAATGTGTTAGGAATGTCTTTGTCAGATCAATGCACTGATCTGCCTTTGTTAGGCTTGTTCGGTGACTTATTTTCTGTTATTTTATCTGATGTCAGGATTAAATATATATTCTTGGTCATAAATTGACATCCTAGCTTTGTAATTGTGGTATTGTTACACAGGTTTTGAACCAGGTTCCAAACAAATAAACAGAAATTCACATCTATCCTGTGAAGTAAAAAGGACCAGTACTGTCCATATGTATCTGGCCAACTCTTCATAGGTGCCTTACTAACTCCTAGATAAGAAGGTTAATGAGAGTTAATCTCTGTTACTACAGAGTAATGACAACATGGAGCTGATGACGAAGGTCCAGTCCGAACAGCACTCATCACAGGAACACTTGTGTCGTCTCAGTCAGCAAGAAGATAACCTCAAGGATTTAAGAGAAACTGTATGTATTAGGATTACGGAATTTTCACGATATTTTCTGGCAATGTTTTAATATTTGGCAAATTTATCTTGCACCTTTCAAAATCTTCGGAAAACCTAGTAGTACTTGGTACATGTAAATGGATAATAGACATCTTTACTATCTTAGACATTATAACTTGAGAGGAAAAAAACCAAGAATTGTCATTTCTGACCTTAAATATTTAAATAATTATTTTCAAAGCGGATTATGGGATACGACATTTGGAACATGAACTTCTCATAAACTCATTTAAATTATAGGGGATTCATGAAAATGTGTACTGCTTGATAACCAATATGAAAGGAACAAAATTATGATAAATATGCTAAAGATTTCACTGAGTGTTGATTCTTTTTTTTTTTTGGAAGTACATAACTATAAAATGTGAACATTTTGGATTTTAATCTTGTTCAACAGATGATGGAAAAAGACTTGAAGCTGGCAGAGTTGAAACATACAACACATGAAGTGACAAAAGAGCAGTACCACCACGAGCAGATTAATGACAGAATGAGACACTACGAGGCACAGGCTCAGCTGGTGGAAACTCTCCAACGCGAGCTGCAAAACTCACAGGTAAACAAAACAAATCAATGTAAACACACCTTACCTTTCTTTTAGATATATGACTATCTACAATGATCAATAAACTTTTAAATAATTTAAGCCATACAAACTTAATTTTTCGTTTCTCGTAAATTTTTTACCTCCCGCATCACCGTTTTCATTGCCAAATTGAAAAAGAAAGAAAAAGAAGATGCGGTAAAAAATTGCGGAATGGAAAAAATAAGGATTTAATCACCCGCGTCCGATTCAACTATTGGTCTCAAAAACAGCATCTCGTCAGAGCTTTTATGAATCGGCACAATTGACATCAAGCGTCTTGCCGATAACGGCATGGCCTTGTCGCTAATTTCAGTACAGATGTCTTATTCAACAGTGCTTTTACCATGGAATGTCATCAGCGGGTACAGTCAAAGCTATACCTTTGCCGATCTATGCAAGAACCTCTCTGAATGTGTTGGTCTGGGACCATCAGATTGGACTTTTCTGGCCAAATATATTGATCTTGCGTACATCGTTAGAATTGGACGGAGTAAAATCGAAAGTTTCGACCGACACAGCAGTGGTTGTTGCTTCTGTTGCATTATTTGGCATCAAGTTTGAAATAACAGACAACACATGTACAGCTGCTGGTCCAGTTGCATTATCTGTCTGACGATGACATTGGATGCCATGATACCGTGCAATACGTTATTGTTTGTTTAAAGCATACTTTATTTTAAATAATACGTAAGTGTATAAAACTCTCTCTAAAACAGCATTTAATACATATTTTAGTATTAATTATCAGGGGGGTGGGGGAATGCACCCTCCCTCGTCAATTTTTTGAAGATGGTAAAACAAAAAAAGCCTCCCTCATCACTTTCATGAGGGCTAAAAAATAAAAATAAATCCTCCCTTCCTCATCATTTTCTGAAAAAATTGGCCTGAGAAACTAATCATTAACTTTGTATGGCCTTAATACTTAGAATTTTCTGAATTAAGCTTCAATAAACTTGATGAACAATATTAAAAGTAAGTTGAATTTCAGTTGCAATGGTACAATGTGATCACTGATCATCACAATAGCTGTATCAAGTCATTTGATTGGCCCAGCTCATGACAAGGTGAACACCAACATTGACATCTAAAGGTGGTTTTATCATAGTTGCTAGTTAAAATCACAGAAGAGAAAAATCAAATTGAGTTTGAATAAAAATTTCTTGTTCTATATAATGTTCTGTTTTGATACTGTTATCCTACTTTATATGTGAAATTGAATTATTTTACATTTTCTTACCTGTACCTCTCTAGGACATGACAGACGCCCTAAAGACCCAGAACTGTGAGCTGCGTACCATGCTGATCAAGGCCTCGGACAATCAAAACAACCCAGGCCTGAATCCAGAGGACGAGAAGAAAAGGGATGATGTGGTAGGTAACCCCAGGACTTCATTTGCAAAAAAAAATGCACTTTTGAAAAAAATATTACATAAAGATGGCACATTGGCCAGAATTAATGTTTAAAATGTGAGGTTATCATGAATATAAAAGTAATTTAAATACTACTGCAAAGTCTGCAATCTTCAACAGTTCATTAATATTATATGAAGATTTAAGGTTTTAAGAGCATGCATTTTGATTTAAAAGCAAATATGGAATACTACTGCAGAAGTCTTTGCGAGTTTCCACAGGCCTATTCGGCTTTAAAAAAAATTGGAAGTCTCCCAAACTACTATCATATTTTGACACTGATTACCTTAAATTAATCAATATCTGCGTATTCAGATTGACTCACTGACAGCAGCAATAAAACAACTGGAGACTGAGAGGACCCAATTGATGCAGACTCTGAAAGAACAGCGGGATCTCTCCGACAGTCTCACTGTGAAAATCACTGACCTGGAGGAGGCGATCGTACAGAAAAGTATGTTATAACTTTAGTCCTTATCTATCAATCATCAAGTGTGATAATGTAACATGCTTTCCACAAGCTTATCTACTCATAGTGCGAGGAAATCTCAATATCGGACCCTCCAATCGTTTACTCTAGATCCGTTGTAGGTGCTTTATTGTTGTCTTTATCATTTCATTAATCATAGCATACAGATTGGTCATAAAATTCCTTCCATGCAAACTACCAGGTATATATTAAAGCACTATTCAAGGACAGACAGATATTCAGGGCTGAGTCTTTAATCATATCTGTCTTAACCTGCCCCTAGTCCGCTGCGAGATCTAGAACATTTGATAGAGTATGAACCCTTCTGTTACATGTAGATTTGACTCTTGGGCCACTTAGTTTATCGCGATCCAAATGGTTGGATTGCAGGACCAGAGATGTTCGTTTAGGAAATAAAGCTTGACCTAGTTATCTGATGGTGCTTTCAGGCGAGCCTTGACAAAGCCTTGCAAGGCGGGCATAAACAATTGCAGGTCCACCAGGATTTATACCCGAAAATGTTACATTTAAAAACAGACAAACCGGTTGTTCCGCATAAACGAACAGGCCCTGTAATTCAAGTATTTTTCAAGCCTCTAAACAGAGTCTTAAATGTTGTTTATTTTAGAGGTAACTCTTTGTAAAAGTATTAAAAGGCTGCCCTCATAATCAGAGTTTTTCTTGTCTGACAGTGAAGCAAAATATGATAAAAAGCAACTGAAGAGATATATTTGGGAAGTTAGCACTATTCTTTGTGTGTGTTACAGGTACATTCCATGTAGACAATGACAAGGTGAGCCGACAGGAGTACGATGTAATGAGAAAGACCATGCAGATGATAGAGGACAAATATACCGGTGTGATGAGGGACAAAGCCGAGCTGTCAGACAAGGCTGAGCAGCTGGAACATCTAGTCCTACAGCTAGAGGGGGAGGCAGATACTATAGGTATAGTGCTGGGTTGTAATGAAGTGAATACTTTTGTATGTATGGAGTTGAGAAGGTGAATGTAGGGTTAACCTTACAGATAGCCAAGGATGAGTTCTAATACAGAACATGTTTTGTCTATATAACTGAAATCTATAGTATTTTTTCTTACATTTCATCAAGTTGAAAAAAAAATGCTTTAACATTTTATTAAAGAGTGTGAAGCACAACTGGGGAAAAAAATTGAATATTATTCATCCCAAAATTTAAAACATATACGATACCAATTTTGTCAAGAAAGAAGAAATACAATATTATTTTCAAAGGACAAACATGTTACTGAAGTGATTGAACTCATCATGGGAATGGCAAACAATATTGTACCAGCCCATTTGATTATAATAGATGCACAATGATCAGAACATATTTTTCTCAATAGTAAATTATCTACCTGGTTTTCAGTATAGAACCTCATGTTTAATATTTACTTAAAAAGCTGGCTGTAGGCATAAACAAGAATCAGTTGTTTTTTTGCAAGGTCTTTAAAACTTGGAAAAGAAATGGTAACAGTTGCGTTGTAATCATATTTTGATCCCAGGGGATCAGACATACCTTAATGTATAACACAATAGCTTTCAAATTTCTCTTCAGTCTGAGATACCTACAGCACATACTAATGAATCTTGTTTGTGTGATTGCCGGGTGGAGTTATTTCTGTTGATGTTTTGTAGGAGAGTACATATCATTATATCATCACCAACGTGCTTTGCTACAACAACGAGAATATCAGAAAAACGACTACATTGCCCACCTTGCCAAAGACAGAGAACAATTACAGGTGAATATTTCTACCAGGGCCAGCTACCATGCACGTTTTTCTGTGATATCACATTATAACAATTAAATTATATGCCTTCTGTACAATCAGTAGACCTTGTATTAAAGGGAAAAATGCTTGGCATACAGGCATTGTTTTGACTGAAACAGTTCCTTTTTAGAAGAGGAAAATAATCATTCCCCACTTTGAGGGTAAGAGAAATAAATCATTCTCCCCCATAGGGTCAATATAGCCATATCACAACTCTCAGGATAAGATTATTAAATTGTCAAATCCTTTGCAGGTTCAGATTTGACAACTTGATAAAAATATTGTGCCTTCAGTTGATATTTTCCCATCTTGCTTCCAAGGTGTGATAGTGTCAATAAATCACTTCAAAATGATGATTTTAGTATGGAGGTTTGTGCTTTAAGTGTTTTCCTGTTTGTATCGATACATCTTTAGTGTAAAGTTCATTTAATTTTAATTAACATATTTTATACCTCAAATTATTTTGTTGTGTACCATAAGTTGCAGGGAGTTTTATCACAAGCATGACATTGTCTACATGGTCGATTCTATCAATATTGTTACTTTCTAATAATGGCATTGGAAAAAAATGAAGTTGAAAATTAATAAAAAAAATAAAAAAATAGGTTGTGTGACTGAAGTTATTTCCTATTGTAGGAGAAACTTGGGGAGCTGCAGCAGCTAGTGATGCAGTTACTTGGAGAGAAGAATATGTTGTCTAATTACCATGAAGAAGCACACACTTCCATGCATTCCAACGACCTCAGTGTACAACCACACATCCAGAACGCTCTCCAGCCTCTGACGAATGGAGTCAATAGTAACGATGGTAAACAAAGACCAGATACATACCTTTTTAGTTTTAACATTTTCCTAATGAAGCTTGCCTATAATCTAGAAGTCAGCATGAGCAAAACTTGAACTAAGTGCCACTGTATTCCTGCTTTGGTGGATTTTATCGATGTAATCCAATATTCTGTTTATAATTAATGGATATATGATATTGTTTGGTTCAGACAGGTTTCAGAGGAAGTAAAAGTTGAGCATCTTTCAGTCAATCTGTCAATCAAATACATGAAAATTTGTTTTGTTCCTTAGACTATTTCTTTCAAATGTAACCAAGATTTATTTCAGTTCTATTTTCATTGCATTATTTGTTGACATGTTATATAAGCACACGTAAAGTTAACACCAGAAACACTCTGATATCAATGAAAATTATGTCTATATCGTATGTTTATTGATTAAAAAAATATGAATGAGAAATATACTGATATTTCAATAACTCCTTCTTCAGTGGACTGGCCTGACTATACCAGTTCTGAGTCCGACTCAGAGAGTGAGGTCGAGGCTATTGTGGGAGGTCAGGACAATTTCACAAATAAGGAAGTCACAGAAACGATGGACCAACCAACTGAACACCAAACCACACACCACCACCACCAACACCATCATCACCGTCACCACAGTCAGACTTCTCACGACGAGGGCCACGTCCATACCAAGGGGCCACAGGAGGGCCAGACTGCCAACAAAATTCTTAACCTGCTAACAGAGATTGGACACTCCACACTAGTTGACAGGCCGAATGATATAGACCACAACTTCTTACCGTGTAAATACTGTAAAGGAAAGGTACAGATTATATGAGTGCAACAAGGAAGTTCCTAACAAACACTTAACGATACATGGCCAAAACCACCAAGGATGATTGTATGTGCAATTAGTTTGGTAACACTGACATAGAGACTGTGTCAATATGTCTATACATGATAGGAATCTCCTGTACCCATGTTTCGGTATAGACCGTATGCATACATATTCCTCTCCAATGGGACAGATTTCCAACAAAGATATCAAGAGTATGCATACCTCTCTCTGTGGGATGAGTTGCCAATACTGAAGGAGATAAACACGTTCTACCTTTGCAATAATAGGCCCAGTTCATAGAGAGTATACACACTTGTCTTATCTAACACAGGGATTGTGTACAACTGACATCTCACATAGATTTGTGATAGCAGTGCTGGTCACATTGAACATACATTTAGAGGTCACACATTTGTCCTATGGATTTAATGTATGACTTGATAGAAGTGGAGAAGTGACAACTCCTTACAAACGGAAATGTGTGTTACCCCGTAATACCTGTCCTTTAATACAGGATGTCCTACAGTTTGTTTCCTGCTACATACCGAACACCAACAATGAAGGTTGTGTTCAATTGTTCCACAGAAATACACTAAAACTTCAAAATGAAGATTTTTGGTTTTGTATAACTGTTCCATAGAAAAGAAATACACTAGAACTTCAAAATGATGATTTTTGGTTTTGTATAACTGTTCCATAGAAAAGAAATACACTAAAACTTCAAAATGAAGATTTTTGGTTTTGTATAACTGTTCCATAGAAAAGAAGTACACTAGAACTTCAAAATGAAGATTTTTGGTTTTGTATAACTGTTCCATAGAAAAGAAATATACTAGAACTTCAAAATGAAGATTTTGACCACAAACCGTTCATCTAGAAGGGTTTTAATATTAATAAAACTAATCAAAGAGTATCAAAGTGTTAAGTGGTATGGTTACATGGAATATTTCATAATTTATTATCTTTATCATAAATATTTGAAATCATGACTATAAAACATTGTGCAAATTTCGTTCTGTTAAATTACCCATTCGACAACAGTTTATTAACCGTCAGTTTAATATCATGTGAATCAACATTATAGAAGCTGTTACACTTGTGCAGACATCACTATTTAAATGCACTAGTAAGTAAACCTACACAAGTAACACTAATGTGTGTGAGGTTGTATTACTTATCTAGTACAGAGTATGTGGTCTGTATACCATTATGCCTTTCTGTGATAGTCTGTGATCAGTGTTGTGATTGGGGTATTGATCTGAATGTCTGAACCTATTTTGTGAGAATAATGAATCAATTGTGCTAGTTTACATGTTGATGTGATTGTACTAGGAGATCACAATGAGAAGCTCAAGGAACAATAGGTTTGTTTAGGTATCTACCTGTAATATCCAACCCGTAGATCTGTACTGCTCTTTACTGCCTAATGTTGGTGCTAGAAGTCAAATTCTGTTGGAATGAATAGCTGACAGTCCTGGTGTTGTTTGTAATCAAACTTTCAGAATGTTTAATATATATAATGATGTTATTCCAACCTGCTCTGTATAACATACCAAATTTGTAGACATAAACCTACCCTGTCAGACTTGTATCAAAGCTGTCTCCAAGCTAACAAATACTGATATGTATGGTACAAAAGGAAATTACATGTATTAAATCCAACAAATTATGATAAACTGGCACCAGTTTCACAAGTTTTTCTTAGCCTCAGTTAAGAATTTTCCTTAACCCTTTCACCACTGTAGACCATAATGGACTCATCCATATAAATGCATGGTAGAGTCTATTAACGTTACATAGGGCTGATAGAGTTAATTAAACAATGCTTTCCCCATGGGAAAATGTTAGTTTGGGACAAAAGGTCGGTGAAGAATAAACTAAAGCCTGACCTAACATCTACATAGGGTACTTTACGGTAAATTACCTATTGGTAAAATACCCATTCTACCTCAAATCTAAGGCTATCCAGGTTTATCACCAGAAAGGTTGGATATTGAATGGTTTCATCTAGTATAGTGGGATATTTTTCCATTAATTGGTTGGAACACCCTAGTTTCCTAGGTAAAGTTTGGTAAGGTGGGGGATATTTCACAAGTTGTTGTCGGTTACAAAACTTAATGTTTGAACCCACCTCGGAGATAAGTCCAGCTTTTATGAAGTAAGATTAACACACACTTGCAAGATACTAACAATTTGACCAACAGTTATACTTATAACATTCCAGTAGACAAGAAGTTTCAAATGTGAAACGTATCTGCAGTGGCAGATCTAGAGACCAATGTGGGGTTGTTTCCTTTCCCAGAGAGGAGATTCTCTTTTGGGAAATACGAGATGTTTTTTTTTCTCCAGAAAATCACTCTGTCAAATTGATAAATGTGATATCATTGAAATATTAAGTATGATTTCAAAAATGGAAAGAAAATGTTTTTGCTTTGTTATGGTTAGTGAAGATTTCCATAAATGCATTGTGTAGGTAAATTACACTGGTAGATACCTGTTATTATGTTTTAATCAGTGTTTTGTCTGTCGAGTCCTTCAAAGCAAATCATGTTACTACTTTGATTTCAATTAATACATAAATTATTACAGAGATGTATCAAGACTCTGCTCTAGTCATTCAGATCTGTGTTGCATGCATATATAAGGAACTCAGTTTGGACCCAGAATTGAATATACAGTAAGTCAGTGATATAGAGATAATATACTGCAAGTTAGCCTGAAACAGTGATTTTGTGTCTTCAAAAATTAACTTGACAGTTTGGTAATATTACATTCACAACATCTATTAATGAATACACTTTATTTAATGTGTGTATAATTATTATGTAACAGATACATGACATTGTATTTTATCAAATTCACAAATAGGGTGAAGGTAAAGCTGCTGGAGAATTTGAGTTTGGAGAAGAAAATAATTGTAAGAAATCATCATTATCATGTGTTTATATTCTTCAATATTTGTAACAGGTACTATAGTTACAGACCAGAAATCTGTACTTGACTGGACCTTCCCTTAGTCTGTGATATTTAAGGATTCACTTACGGTGTAGATTGCTACAGGTTTTAAGGGAAAATGTCCAGGTTGATGCATATTAAACATGTATAACCCTTCTTTTTGTTGCTGTGGTACCTGTACCTGTGAAATCGAAGCAGACACATAATGATGAACATTACTTCTAAAATGGAATATATCGCATTATCTTGATTCTACATATCACTTGCCAATTAAATGCTTGTTTGCTGCTTCAGGAGTTTGTGTTGTAGATATCAAAAATATCTTAGCTATATTACAGCTGAGACAATTCAAGTTCTCACTACAGTAAAAGGATATCTCGACTGCAAATACTTGGCATTTATATACGTATGACATTTTCATTTTCCATGGCATAATTGTGAATTTTTCTTTCTGCATATATCACTATGCACATTAAATACAAATATCTAGTTTTCTAGATATTCTCTTGTACTGTGATATTGAGGCACACTTGAGAATTCATATTTCTACTTTTGGATATATCGGAGCTTGAGAATGCCTTATAATTTTTGTGGTAAATTGCAAAAAGAGTGATCACCATTTTTGTGCCATAATGATTTGGAAATGGCACTCTTTTGCCATGAGTATATTCATTTTAATGATGAATGTAATACAAGAAGAAAACAAGTAGTTTTAGCAGCTTTCTTACAAATGTAAAGTTACGACTTAAGCTAGACAAAGTTATTATTCTGTATTTTTTCTCTTAAAATTTACAATAATTTGTTTTACTTTTTGAGAATATTTAATGACAAACAAGAAAATATTTTCATTTAGCAGTTTTTCCATTAATCCTGATTTATGATAAATATTTCATTGGACACATGCTATTTTGCATGATGGGGGAAAAAAGCTGATTTCCAAAAAATACCATAGAATCGAGAATCAGTTGTTCACAACCAACTTTAATCCCATCTTGTGTTGCAATGCAAGTTGTACTGAGGTCATAGTATTTCTATTGGTGAAAACAGCATATATCATTTTTGGGTAGAGTAGCATTTACCTGCACATTCATACGTACAGTAGTAAAATGTACTATGTATTACCTTTTAGTCAATGAAATCGACTCTTCATAAATAAAATGACAGGTGAAATATGGTGACCACATTGTTACTTTCTTAGTGTGCTCATGATCAGGGTAAGTGTAAAATTGTTTTTTATTCACACATTTGTCGATATTGGATTGGAAATCAATGAAAATATTTATGGAAAATTTGTGTGATTAATCTGGAAAATTACCAGACACTTTCAATCTTTCAAAGACCGATATTTTGCCATAAATTAGCAGGAACCCATCATTAGGGATGCATTACACAGCCTACCTGTGATTTGTGTTACAGTTACCTCCCTTATTTTTTCTTCAAAATTATTGAATACATGTTTAGAATTACCAGAGTGTTGCTAATGCATGCATTCTTGTTTACCTAATAAATTACATGTGTACATCTTCATTTATTTTACAAAATTTCAATTACCATTAGTTGAATTGTGATGACAGGTACTGTACATTGACTTTCAATGGGGAATTCTGCTGAAAGGATGCATTTGATGTACAGTAATGTAACAATATCCTTTGGGAATATAACAGTCAGATTGATTTAAACACATTAGGCATGTGTACTTACAAGTTATAATGTAGGTGTCATAAATGTTTTATATTTACATACAAATATGCTTCAAGTACATGTATTATCTTCATGTAACATAATGAACACAGATTTGAGTCATAGCCTAAAGTGATCGAGTAAATGTGTTTGAGTGAGTGTGCTTGAACTTACAAGCTGTCTGTAGGATGTTTTGTATACGGTTTGTGGTATTCATGTACAGTGTACCTTGTATATAGTCATAACGCCGTGTAAATAAAGAGGATATACTGTATATATGGTTGTGTACATACCCACTACTGTAAGTTATTCATAATATAAGTTTGAGATTGTTCATTGTAATATAAAAAAAATTGTATATATATAACACATTTACAGTCATGATTTTTATTGAACTATGCATGCACATTTAATTATGTAATAAATCCTTGGGAAATATCAAGATATCGAAAGCTGGACTTTGCATGTTATTTCATTCAGTGAGAGTAACGGACTCTTATTATATTGCTGTGAAGTGAAAGATTAAATGAGCTTATAATAAAAAAAAAAAAATAATAATAGAAAATTGAGGTTCTTGTACACAACCTAGTTTGAAGGTTGTCTCAAAGTGGTTCACAAGTTATTATCTGTGGTTATAGGGCCTTTGCAACCTGCCAATATCTTTCTCAACTCCATGGGGAGCATACAGCCGGTGCTGCCATTTCGGCACTCACAGCTGACATTCAACAATTCTAGCACTGCCCAACCACATAATTATTTACAGCTCAGTAGACTGGAACAAGCGGAGAAAAAGTATCTTGTTCAAAGATACAACACAGTGCCGTGACGTGACTGGATCCCATGAGGCCGGCGCCCTTACCGTCATACCACTAGACTACCGTGCCTTTTTATGCTGTGTCGTAGCATGTGTCATTCATTTGGCTTCAATATTAATATATCTGTCATTCATTTGGCTTCAATTTTAACATATCTGTCATTCATTTGGCTTCAATATTAATATATCTTGTCATGAATGGTCATATGGCATCATCCATCCATTGCGTTATTTTGATGCAGCAACCTCAAATGCAAACACAATTTGGGATCGCAGTGTTGCATACCGAAGAGATAGATCACACAGACCCTTATATCCAGAGTTATGGCCCTTTGTTTATTTCATTAGGTTTTGCTTGTCAAAGACATATCTCCAAAAGAGTTTCAAACCTTGCAATCAAACAGTACTCAGAATGGTAGAATGTCGCATATCAAAATTATGCCACAAACATACTTATTTTCAGCTTTATGGCCCTTCCTTTTTTTGTTAATTAAAACTGTTCATGCAGCAACTTTAAACTTTCCATAAAAAACACTTCCTAGGAATGAAGAGTGTTTTCTACCAAAATAAAATTACACAGCCCCTTATTTTTAGAGTTAAGGCCCTTTGTTATTTTTTTACCCTCATAAATATACCCATGATCTCTGAATGGCAGAGTTGCATTTCAAAAATATGTCCTGAGGAACACTATTCACAGAGTTAGGTCGTTTTCTTATTTATTTCTGTCCGGACCATAGCTTTAACATCATTTCATGAAACAGCCTCCAATTTTATTACAGAGTTATGGCCCCTTTTTGTGTCCACTTCAACTGAGGTTTACCTAACTTTCAATTGCATACACAACTTTGAATGGCAGAGTGTTACATATGAAAAGGCCTCCTTTCAAAATTTCTGGATCTACTCAATGCTTCAGTGATTTTTTGGGAGGTTTGACTTTCTGCAGTTGTCATCTCAAATAGATGCCTTGTTCTTGTTTGATTGATGCAAAATTAAGCTTCTAGGGCAGTAATAATAATGAATAATTTGATGTGCAAGTTTTGAATCAATGTTCTAGTATTGACCAAAATGATAGTATTCCATGCATTATTGTCATATATACTACATACATGTATAAGATTATGTAAAACTGAATACCACGTTCTTCAAAATACTAAAACAGAAGATTTTTAATCAGAATACTGAATATTCATCTTACAAATGTAATGAAATTATTTTGAATCCACATTCATCAATGTTTCATTAACATTTCAAGACTGATGCACATGCATCAAAGATGTTTTTTATGATATAAAGAATACTCAAATACAAAAAAGCTTGATTCAAAATAATTTAATCTTCTTGTTTCTAAATCGACAAACTGCAACTTTACATGAGATATCATTCAAGTCAGACCCATATATTTATGATGCATTTCAAATTATCTTCAAGTCAAATTAACTACTCAGATATTTCATGGTTGTGGATTTCAACAAAATTGTCACATGAAAGGATCCAGCTACTTTATGAATATGAGTGAATGTTAATGGATTTTTTTATTATCACATGTACAGTTAAACATTTTCTTAGGAATCTGGAGGTTTAACATATGTGAATTTATCCATGACTATCCTTGTGAGGCCTGCTCCATAGTAATCAATGACATAGTCTGATCCATCTGATGGAGTCACTACTTGGGTGGCAATCAATAAAATGTCTACAAGCTGTCCTAGGAAGAAAAACCCTAGTGTAGAAAATTTCAGTAAACCAATAGCAGGATATCCGAGATAGAATCTGTCAATTCCAAACATCCCAAGAAAAATGGATAATAATAAAGAGGTCTCAAAAGAGTATCCATTGGTCCATCTGCAAGGTGCTTCTTTTAAGAATCCTACAACAGTTCCATTGTAAGTCATAGCCTTCCCGTCCAGTCCAATACAACTGATTTCTTCAGCTGGCATACATTGAATTAAAACAGTCCTGTTCTCTCTGCATCCCTTTGCACTTTGTGTTTCTGTGTCAATCTCAGGTTCTTTGCATGTGTATTGGCCAAGAAGCAAAGATTCGCATCTTAATGTTGTGGTCCTGCTTCCTGTAATTTGAATAAGAGACAAGAGAAACAAGAAAAGAGTCTCACTACCAGTCGATTTCATGTTTATATTATCCAATCGCCATAAAATTACGTTTGTATAGATTATTGAGGCAGGTCTTGATTCATTCCGTAAAATTCAACTTGGAGTATGATACGTTGACAACGATGAAGATCCTGAAATCGACTTCCATTTCTCAGCAAATAAACAGGAAGAGGTACCGGAGTTATGTCCCATTATTTTTTACGTTCAGATATTACTCCGCTAATGATAGAATTATTCCTTTTTTCGTCTATACATTTGGTTTTTGGAAAGAATACGACTATTTCTATTTTACATATGTTTTCGATTTAAGAAATCTTCATCGAAGATGAAATAAAATCCATAGATATTAAAAACTATATTTTATATCAAGGAAGTGAACGCGCGACGTTCTTCGGTCTAACCAAAATCGTCCCAAAGCACGTGTGCTGTCAACATCAGATTTGTTTTTGTTGACACTTTAGAAATGGAGTCCCCTGACGAATCATCTGATAGCGAAATGGAAGATCTAGTTGCCAAAGCTGTTGACAAAATCACATGTAACAAGAAAAAATCTGGAAGCGTATCAAAGTGTGACAGTTCAGAAAAGACCGTGAAACCGGCTAATAATGATCGGTAATGCCTTTGTAAACATACTTTTTTAACTTAACATTTTGGGACTGACTCTACCCATTATAAATTTAAAATTTAATTGTGCTAGCGTCCAGTTTGGAATATCGCACAACAGCTCATACGCTGTCAACTAGAGTTTCATTTACTCCAACTATGTTAGTTGGAGTAAATGAAACTCTAGTTGACAGTGTCCGATCCCTATATTCTTCCAACAAGTATGGAATTTAATAGTTACTAATAGAATGGCTGAGATATTTATACAAAAAATATCTTTTTGAAATAACATAATAGCGAATTCCTTTCTTTGTACAATTGATTATTTTTTATTTTCTATAATTGCTTGTGTATTTGTTGATTAAATAATTAGCCTATTCATACTAAATTTACTTCAGCATTTTACTAACCCGACGATAGTTAACTCCAACCACAAGAGGTACTAACGATAAAAATGGAATAAATATGAGCCGCTTCCTACTATCTTGGCTAAGGAGACTCTTAAGCTTACATCTTTTGGTAAGACTAGAAAATCAGAAGTCCCGGTTTTGATCCCTAGTCAAGACATTTAAAAAATAATGACCTCTGTTCCTGGTGGTGCAAACAGGATTTAGGGTGAAACAAGTACTAATATCAATACCCGGCCTCCTCTGCCCAGACGGCGCAATATACCAAAAAATGTCCCGTCGTCAGAAGTTACGTTATCACAGCTTGCGTGAAACCTGACCCTGATCCTTTTACAAGAACCAATAAGATGTTAGGAGTTGCATGTGCACGGGACTACAGTAGCAGAATACAGTAGAAATAAAGGGCATGTCGTATATAAACATGGAAAATGGATTTATCCTGCACAATACACCTTTGCAAATGGTTCCAGCTGTGGGGGGTGTCGGAGAGAATCATGGTTGAAATGCATTGTTTGCTTGTTAAGCAAACATGTTTATATATATATTTATAAAGTTCATTTTTTTCAAGAAGTGTTTTCCCCAGATTTGGGACTTGTGAAAACCATGGTTACCAGTCACATAAAAACCCACCAAAATATGCAAAATAGAATTTATTGACCCCGCAAGTACCTAGTATATTTTTTTCTTCAATTAAATATCACCCTCTCGGAAACAGAATACTCACATTTTAGCATAGGTAGTTCAACTGGATTTTTCTCAATATTTCCACATGTGCAGAGTACAAAAATAGGTCATGAAAAGCTAGCTTTTGTGATGAAGACACAGATTTGTAAATGGCCACTGTAGCCTCAAACGAAATTCAGTTTCAAGCTCAAATAATCCACTTCATCATGTATATATACCAATTTAAGTGCTGATTTTTTTTTTTGATTTTGATACATTAAAAGCACGATGGAAGCACACTCTCTTTCCTGTTACACATGTATGCATTCTCCCCATCCATGGAAAGACCCTGTCTTCAAGGCTTCTCAAGTTCTGAAGTACAACCATGCTTGCAATTGTGACACCCAAGATCTAGAGTGAGGAGACCATCATACACATAGCCCAGGTCTACATGAGCACCAATACAACCAAAGTTCATTTTCCTAATGCCTTTGCCTAGAGTCGGAAAACGACTACAACAATTACTGGTCCAAGGCTTTTCTGATTAAGCTAATGGGAAATTTCCATTAGCTCAGTAACCAGCAACTAGATCATTATCTACTGTAACAATAATTAATCTTGGGCATCATTAGAATGGAAACGTAATGAAGTATCAAAACACTGTGAAGAAAATGCTGAAAAATCCTGATATGCATCAAAATCACTTACCTCGTCTGATCTCATTGATAATTTGCTATATGATTGCCATAACAAAATTGTATCAGCTCAGAAATGGCATAAAAATACCCTGATGTTTATATTTGAACCAGTGTTCAACATTAGTGTGCTGAGCTCCATGGCCTCTAGCTAGCTATGACAATAATGTTGTCACCTTAGGCTATGATAAATATATATGTTTTGATTTGTTTCCATAGTCCAAATATAGAAAAAAATATTATTTTGCCCACAGATTATTATCTATTGTGAAATTCCAAAAATGTCTTGATGACAATAAATGGGTTGATGAAGGAATATGATATCTTGCAAACACTTATTATTAGTATTTAATTTTAACATTTTTTTTTTCTTATTTCAGGATCACTTTATCTTCAAAAATTCACAGCAGTGTAAATTTATATGATAACTATTTAAAGAAACCAACACAATCGACAGTCAAGAAGACAAAGGAATCAACTATTCAAAATTTGATAAAAGGATCAGACAAAGACAGTGAAGTAAGTATCAGACCTTAGGTTATGTTAAGTATTAACACACACAATATCTAACAAAACCATAGTTTGGCCAGTTGGGCCTCCCATGACTAATAGAATCTTCCCCTACCTCGAGGATGTGACAGAGAAATCTTCAACCCGAGGGGTGATGTTTTTTGGTTGTCTAACCCAAGGCTCTGCCAAGGGTTAGACAACCAAAAAAGTCACCCCAAGGGTTGGAGATTTCTCTGTTAGACCCTCAAGGAAGGGCATGATTATTTTTCTCCCATCCTATTATTTCAGTCACAGTTCCAGCGACAGTAGTCTGCCTTGTTTGTAAACAAAAACACATGTGGGGTATGCATATCGTCACTCACTTTTGATGACGTCACAATGTTACTGATGACACATTTTAATGACGTCACTATTGAACACATGCTAAATCGGCACGAGGCTATCTCCCCCTAAGGGGTGACAAGCTGATCTTTCCCGGCTAAAACGGGGGACACACCTGTGAAGTTCAGTCTACTTTGTGTAGAGTGTTCTGTCAATCTTGTAGTTATCAATAGCCAAATCAAGCATATAACTTTTTGTTCGTAAATATTGATGTACAAATATATCTTTTATAGATAATGAAAAAGAGTGTTCTTCAGCCGGATATTGAAAAGAAATATGCATTACCGCCATATCAGGAAAGTCTTCAAACACTCAAGAAACAGAGAAAGGTAGGAAATGGCATACGACAGTGTTGCTATGTGTTATGTGATTCTATTCATTACAAGACTGCCTTGTCAATGCAGTGAATACATGAGTTAGGTATGTCATCTGTCTTATTTGTCTCTTCAGCTCTAAGCCATAATTTTTTTAATTGTCACAATAGATATTTTATCAAGAATGTTGATTCACAACACCTAGAGTGTGACAACAAGTACCTGTTCCAAAGCATGAGATTTATAGGATCCCTTCCTTATCTTTAGGATAGGACAGAGAAATCCGAAGGAATAGATTCTTTACTGTCTAACCAGAGGCTGCTTTAGCTGAGGGTTAGTCGGTCATTGATATGTGATGGGGGTGGAGGTTTCTTTTTCATAACCTCGAGATAGGAAAGTCCAAGATACATTATCTGTATAATTTTCATAAATATTCCGCAATTCCCGAAATATTTAAGTGATAAGTCTTGCTAGAAAATAGTTTCTGGTACATAATTACAGTTTAATGGCAGTGATACCAGGATCCTTAAATGCAAGCTTCTTTCCAATCCTGTTCTAGTAAAATACTCTGTGATGATATTTTGTACAGTAGTTTCACAGAACCATCATCTTGGTATGTTGTGGTTCATGATAAAATATCATTCATTATGTTGAAACATATTATTCAGTCTTTCACAGTCTTTAATTACGAAATCCCACTTGTATCACCACTATGATATCAAGGATGATTCAACTACCATTTTAAGGCCCCTGTAAAGCCCCATTCCCCTCTGAGTGGCCTCATTTAATAATGTGACTTTGATTTTCAAATTCCTGATATGAAATGCAGTGTTCTTAATAATTTTTTGGGGAAAAAAATTGTAAAACCCCCCACCAGTCCCTTCAGTTAGTCTCAGTGTTTTAGGTGTGTTCACACCAGAGGAAAGCTTTGATTTTTTTTTACAGTGTCAATATCTTGAATCAATCACTCATTATTGATCTCACTGATAATTTTCAGTCTTTGTTTTTTTTCTTTCTAGCAGACTATGAAGATGCAATAAAAAATAATACACATTAATTCCCTTAGAAATTTTGTTAGTAATAAAAAAATAAAAGTTTGCAGGTACCTAAGAATGGATGAGAATAGCTGTTTTTATTTTTACAATGTAATTGTGTATTGATTCTTTTACATGTCTGATATTTTGTTGTACACAGAAAGATAAAGAGATGACTAAAGGTAAAGGTTGGTTCAACATGACAGCGCCCGAGATGACAGAGGAAACAAAGAATGATCTGACTGTTCTTCAAATGAGACGAGCTCTGGACCCGAAAAGATTTTACAAGAGTAATGACATTAAGACTCTCCCCAAATTCTTCCAGGTAAGTCATACTTTTGATGTAACTATTAATTGTAAGAACTAATTCGATATTTAAATTTTATCTGTCATACCAGATATAGATACTCTAAAGGAATTTAAATACAACATTGTGTCGTGATCCATTTAGACCTTACCTGCTGCTCTGCCAACAGCAATCAGTGCTAGACAATAAGGGTAGCCAGCTGATAGTCTGGGACTAATGAAATCTCCAGCTGGATTAGTGGTTCTAAAAATCACTAGCCGGATTGATTAGTCAAAATTTGATATTGCTTATCTTATTGAATAATATTAGGTAAGTGGAATTTGCACATGGATTAGTAAAAATTGGAAACTACTACCCCAATTGACCAGTGGTATTCAAAACAAAATACTGGCCCTGTATATCCACACAGTTATCCTCTCATTTATTTTATGTATAGAAAAATAGGACCTTTGGGTGTGTGCCTGTAATTTGGATTCTTCCAAATATATATATATTGCATCACATCAATGAATTTTAGCTCACCTGCCTGAACGGCTAAGTATATTTTGACTAAACTTGGTCTGGAGCATCCTTGGGCCAAGGGCACTCAGTTTTGTATAAATGGTGGGTGTGGCCCCTCTAGGGGTAGATATGTGGGGCCCAATAAGCGAAATAGAGGTAAAACCTTTGAAATCCTTCTCCTACAATAGGGATTCAAGATTTTATCCCAATGTTGTCTCCATTAAGTTGTCTAGTAGTGCCTTATACTATTAGGATGTATTCATTAAAACAAGATGACCACCAGGCCGCCATCTTGGATTTTGACATTTGAAGTTTGTTCACGCTATATCTCCAGAAATACTGGATGGATCTATCTGAAATTTCATATGTACATACAGTACCTACCAAGGAGTGCTATATCTTTACTTCATATCAGGTACTTTAAACATATATCCAGGTGAGCGATACAGGCCCTCTGGGCCTCTTGTTATTTGAAGAAATGTAGCTATGCTGCATTCATACTGTTATATAAATCCATAGGTGAAATAAATCACGTTTACAAAGACAATTCAACACCAAATTTAAAAAAAAGGGGACTCCAACACAATCTCTAATATTTGAGAGAAATTTATTCAGATGGAATTAACATGTTCTTTATGCAGGTTGGAACACTAAAACAAAAAGCAATAATCACTCAAAGTTTTGTATTATACAGATAATATTATAAGGAAATCATCAATTAAATTGCATATTTACTGCAACATATCTGGCAATTATAAAAATATTACTACAAAAGTTTGTTTTCTTAGTAACTCTTGTTTCATCATAAAACATGTACCAAATAGATTATCTTTTGATTTGATTTAAATCAGATTTGATATCTATTTAAATACAACAATTGTTTATGAGTTATGAAAAGTGAGCTGATTATAATTAATTAATGAGAAAGGTTTTATTTATGAATATGAAATATAATCGATCCTCAAATTTCCATTTAATTTACCCATAACACAAAACAACAATAATGAAGAAATCTTTAAATTCTGGATACAAATACCCCAGAAGAATATCAAAGTTTCAACAAAACTGTAATTAAAACCCAAAATCAATAAAACTAGAGCAAAATATATGCAAAGGAAAGATTACGTGGAGACCCTTGAAAGAGTACAAGGAGAATAAGACCAGGTGTTTGGGATGGGTAAGCCATTTCTGCTTCATCGAAGACAACTGTAAATTGAGGCCAAGTCAGAGAAATGTCATATCTTGAAGCAAGAACTAGCATAGTGACATTGCAACTAAATGAACATAATAAATAAAATTGTCCTTCAGATCAAACAAGGAATATTTCCCTGTGGGATCATGATAGCGACCATACAACTTGCCCGTAGATTTCATCAACCTACATCTCCTAAAATAGCATTAGTTGTATACAGGGAGCATGCTTGTCTTTGCTTCCTGTATGCTCTCCTCCAGGTCCTCTGTTCAATGATTACTCATGGTGAAAGTCAGCAGCACTTACCCCACTACCATATGTATCCTTTGCTCACAGTTTGAAAATTTTAAAAATGTTGAATTATAAAATGTGTTCTTTATGTACCGTACCTTAAAAGGATAATATGTTGTACATGTACTAAATGCAATTTTATGTAAATTACAGTTTGGAAAAGTTATTGAGAACTCGGCAGATTTCTACCATTCTAGAGTTCCAAAGAAACAAAGAAAATCTACCATGGTCGACGAGTTATTGGCTGATGCAGAATTCAGAACGTAAGAACAAAACAATGCTTCAAGATTTTCCTGTCTTTCAGTAATCGGTCCTTTAAACAGTATAGTGTTGTAAAATCCTTATGATGGTAAACATTGAAAAAGTTTCAGAAATTATCATTTCAGTGAACAACTGTTCAGAAACTTTCTGCATTGAAAGTGATTTTAAATAGTAGTACTTTAATTCAGGGAAATTTCTTATCTTAGGAAACTTTACTGTTAGACCTGTTCATGTTTTTCAATTTCCTAAAACATTCTATTATTAAATTATCACTAAATTCAATATTATCCTTGTTAGGTACAACAAGAGAAAGTATGTGGAAATACAGGAAGCCAAGCGGAAAGGAGCAGGGCCATACAAACACATGAAAAGACTCAAGAACAGAAAAAGATGATGTTACTTATATAGCACTGATTGAATGAATATGTTGTTAAATAAAGTTGTTGAAATGGTAATAATCATGTGCATTATCTTATCTGGGTACTTGTGGCTGAAGTGCCTGAATCTAAATATGGCAACTAAGATGATGTGAAATATTAATAGATTTGATTAATGGATCCTAGGGGTAGTGAAGAATACATGTATGTACCTATACATTTATAGAAGATCTACATGTATTCCAAAACTAGCTTTATGGAGGATGAGAATAGAGTATAGATAATATTGATAAAACATATGGGATGTGATGAGATGACCTGACTATGTTGAGGGTGGTAGGACCATTTAGAAATTGCCTCCTTCATCCCCCTCATCTTTTTATATATATATAATTAAAAAGATTGAATATCCATGTGAAGTTGGTAAGTATAGAAAATAAAAGATATAATGACCGACTTCAAAACTAGCAGCTTTCACACTTCACAGGTCTCTTCAGGTTTATTTCAAAAGGACAACTTGTTTGTGTGTATGTATACAAAGACACCATTTCAACTAAATATGATAAAATAAGATATTATATAAGTCACATAATGGCATTTAAACATTTTTTTTTCATGACACCTTCTGGTAAATTTTCATCATTATTTTTTTCATTTTTAGAACACTACTATATCCCGGAAATTATTTTCATTCATGTTTTTGCGTATATACCATATTTGCAAATAAGCCCCCAACCCCAGTGGAGAAGAAAAAGACTAAAAGTAGGGAGAGTGCTTAATAAGAGTATCCCCCCTGTTCACAAATGTCTGCCATCTTGGAGATATATATATATATATATATATATATATAAATAGCACTGTTTTGATCTATGACCACACATTTAATATCATGTACTTATTATTGTTCATGTTGTATAAATAATAACCAAGAGGCAGAATATTTTATAACAGTCTCCACAAGTTGATTAGTTGATGGTGCTGTTGTTTTTTCTAAACTTATTTTCTATCATCAAATGGTCTCGATAATTCAATTTATCTAACACCACTTTGTATAAATATTTTTTTATTGATAAGTCTATCAGTATTCTTTAAGAAACAATACTAACATTCAGGTGTAACAAATTTAATAGCACGACGATCAGGCTCCCAGGTGTTTGGCTAGCTAGCGCCATTACAAGGTTTGAGCATATACTAGCTAGTTCAATAGCGGAAGAAATTTGAGTATAAAAGCCTGAATTAACACAAAAGGGAAGCAATCAAGAGCCTTGATAACGAAATACAAAGCAGAATCAGAATTAATTGTTCCGGTAGGATAAGAGTTTCCTGCAATCCAGGCGATTTTACAACTATATTCCTGATGCTTTATCCCTTGGTCAACACAGTAAATCAGGACGATATACAATATTCCCATTATTTTTCGAAAGAATAAAGACCAACTTCGTACATTATACTTGATACTATTGCCATAAAAAGTTATAAAAGTAGTATTTGTCATTTTTTGTCTTTCCCCAAAAAATCAGTAAAATAAGACACATTTTTTATCTAGACATAACACCAGTCACCTGAAACTTATGTTCATTGTTCATTTTAAAAATATAACGATGTCTCATCAAAGTTTGTAAAATTGCTATACTGTATCATCTTTTTCATGATTTACTTGATCCGCGTTCTAAAATAATAGTAGGGGTCGAGATGTGTTATAGAAGGTAACTTTGCTGACTTATTGGTCTCCCTTTCGTATTAGTTTGGCAGTCCAGCGCTCGGCGAAACCTAAAGCAGATTGCTGGACAGCCAAACTCTTACCCTTGAGTCGTCCACGGATTACAGTCATGTTTGATACTTTTATTACCATTTTTTTCTGACCACACCCGTGGAAAAGATTCCATCAATTTTTTGCCCTTATAGAAAAGGGAATGCACCTTTGAAGTGTGTGTAAAGTTGTCATCTTTGTAACCAAAGCATTCTGTCCTCTATTTGACCTTTCTTCATTTGACTGTATAGAGAAATACATCAATATCATTCGTAACAAGGAAATCATAACTGCCTTTTTTAAATGCCACATAGTTCGGATGATAAAGTCCATCGCTGAGAGTCAGGATGGTGTCCTTGAATTTTCCGTCCTTAGTGAGTTTAACAATGTTCTTGCTGAGACATCCTACCACATACACGTTTCCCAAAGGATCCAGAGCCACACCGTTCGGAAACTTAAGTTTAGGATAATCTGTAAACTCAAACAGGGTATGACCAGACTTCAGGTCTACACACAGAACGCGATGTATGAACGGATTAGTGACGTAGACCCGTCCAGTACTATCGGAAGTGACATTGCGGTAATTTGCATCATCCAAGGGTATTTCATCACATTTAATACCCATGATGGCGTCCATGACCTTGAGGCTATGGCCACACACTACAACCACATTGTCCTCTTGTGAAATTGCGGTGATTCCGTAACATGCTTTTTGTAGTTCGAAACCTTCCTTTCGACTACCGATCAATTCATCCAAAGTGAGTTCAAACACAGCAACGTGTTTTGCTTTTGGAAGAGTCACCATGATTTCAGAACCAAGAATAGTCGCGGCATAAGGTTCATGTGTTAGTTCTACAGCTGACGTCTGCCTTCCAATAGCATTATATGAACACATCTTTCTGTCGTCACTGCAAACAGTCACTATACAGTTATCCGAATGGTAGTATGCAGTGTTTTGTACCGCTGCGTATACCCGACTTTCGACGAACCATCTTTTCACTTGTTCTATTGTCCACGAAATCGGATGTTGTATAGGTGCAAGTTCAGTTTCCGATCTTGTGCCTTCTGTGAGAGAAACATCACAAATACTTTCGATACTTAAACATGCGTCCATCAAGGCCTTTGTATTTGGTTTAATGTTATGTCTCCAAGTTTTTACAGGAACCTGTTTCTTCATAGCAGTTAGTTCTCTGTGCTTTGTCGTTGCTTTTTTCATATGGAGGAAAATTTGTTCATCTGAAATCGATGTTTGATCGAGATGATTTAAAACGTTCTCTAGAAACCTTTGCTCCCCGATGTTTACTTCTTTCGCTGCATTTAAACCTGTCAAAGCTTTTCCATGAATGTTATTTAATTTGGTTTTGTGGTCGTTAAGGAGACTTTTCATCCGTTCACATAGTCTATTAACAAATGATTCGGCTGCTTTCTCCAATCGCAAACGTTTCTGTGTAACCTCCGCAATGTTTTCATTTATAACGTCTTCAGTTTCTTGCAACTCTTTCGCAGCCTTCCGTAGGTGCTTTTCATTATCCATATAATCTCTTTTTGTTCGCACTAACTTTGCTGCATCGTGTATATCAACAACGTTTACACACCTGCGATGCATTACTATTGAACATACGGCACAGCAAGAAGCGTTGTGGTCGGCGCAAAACAATCGGATTTCTTCGTCAGGATGTTTCGTACAAATTTCATGTTGAGTGACTAATGATAGGTCCTTTGAGATTTGATGCATGGGCAAAACTTCATGTCGTTTAGTTTTCTTCATAGACCCATGTGCAGGTTTACACGCTTCACAATATGCCTCAGAACACTGCCTGCACCAATACTCGGCATTCCGTGAACTGTAGCGTACCATACATAAGTCACACTTTCTTAACCCTTTTCGTATCTGATCTTGGTCAATACACGACTGGACCAGACGATCGTCGGGATACAAACTTGCCCATTGTATAATATTACTAAAAGTCCACCCTAAAGGAGGGTCTGTGTCTATGTCACAAACGGGGCATTTGAAAGACGATTTGTTAGTACCCTTTGTCACTTTCGAGACGATCCACTTTCCAAGGCATGTTTCACAGAAGGTGTGAAGGCATTGGAGATATTTCGGTGTCTTGTAAGTCTGTCGACACAAATGACACGCTATAGTGTCTACTCCTGGCGATTCCATGCTGACACCTAGCTGTCTCCCTAGAAAATATATATCTGGTATTAATTCATACAGTTATTGTGTCACGTTAATATTGCAATTTGAAATAAGTTTGAAAAAAACACCTTTTTTTAAAAGAAACTAGCTTTAAATCGAATCACATTTCTGTATACTATTTTTCCTCTGCCAAATGTTTGCCCCCTTGGATATTTCATGAATTCATGAAATCCTGGTCTCTTCACATTCTCATATAACATGTACATCATATATGTTTTAACCCAATTTTTCTCACAATTATAAATATATATCAGGTGTCTTTGTTAAATGTATTACAATGTGTATGTAAGCATGAAACAGATGTCCGTCAAGTATAATGACAACTTGCTACCTCCATGTACAACTGCGCTTACAAACTAATTTAAAAATCTACGCATGTTAACAGGGCAATGAAATATAAAGTAATAACACTGATGATCACTTCAAGTTTTAACACGAAATATAGATGACAATAACATCCGTTGTTGGGACAGCAGCGCTATCCGTAGGATACGTAGATCGTGTGGTTAGGTACACATATTCATAGCGTCGTACGAGTATATAAATAGCCCGCAATTATTATTAGTTTAAAGACAGGTCGGCCATTTAAACATTCTTAACGTGTATCATCACAGCTAGAATTAATCAATAATCACGTGAAGGACTGGGATATCAATACATTATCAGAAACTATGTCTAACTTACAATTATTTCGAGAAATGTCACAAACGTCTAAGAGCATAAAAATCTCACCTTTTGTCTACCACATGCACCTGATATTGTTTCTGTCCAATTATTACGCTGATGGTACGCATGTCAAATTGATTACACATGTGTCCCATTGAAAATATCAAAAACAATCGGTAGATTTTTAACAGAAAACAACCATCGATGTACCCCTTGCTTTACCGGCATTTGCACGTTGACTGTGCAGTGCTATTATTTGTTGATACATTTTATGTGTAAGAAATAACGGTTTGGAACTGTAAAAGTTTACAATATTTGTTTTTGAACCGTCCAATTTGTTTGTGTCCATCAGTCATATCAATCTCGCGATATCGCAGTTAAATCGATATCCTTTTTGTTGTAATGTATTTGTGTTGTTTTAATTTCCTTTGACAAAAGAATTTGCGTTGCAAACTACGTTAAAAAGGTCATTTTAATCGTTAATCATATAAGTAGTTTCGTATCTAGTAGACACTCGACATGCACGGATAGTTAAGGGGTACTAGGAAGGCAGTTTACCTTGTCAAAGTGTCAAATATAAATGTTGCTGCTAGGCCTTGACCAAAATAAACGTTGGCAAGACTTAAACCTTTGAACTAAAAAAAATGAACACCATGGAAAATGGAACCGGGGTCAGTTTTCAACGTACTCACTTAACTCAAATTTATTTTTTTACATATTAGTTGAAAATGGACCATACAAACCATTGATGTTGTTTTGAAATATCCGCCTAGACGTTGATTAAAAATGTCATGTGACCTATTTCCTAAAATTTGACTTTCACTAACAATTTCTTAATGACTTGAGAATTCAGTTTTATTTAATATTTGAACATGATGTAAATTTTTGAGACTAGATCAAATTTTGTTAAATTGTTAAGCGTTACTTTGTTTAGCTTAATGAAAAACAATTTTGATAATATAGGTCAAATCTTGAAAACTAGGACACAGTGACCCCCATCTGGTCAAACAACTGTTTGATATTATATTCTGCACCCGATGACATTTTAATAATGTAGGTAAAATTCCGAAAAATAGGTCACAGTGACCTAATTATGTCAAACATCTTTTTGACTTTATGAGGTCACGATGGCACAATTTTGAAGTGTTGACCTACATTATCGAAAATGGTCATCAGGTTCATAAAATGACATGTAACCGTTGCTTGAAAAAATAGTGAACTGTGACTAAGTGTTCAAATTTTGACCATATTAAAACATTGTCATCTGATTAGGAAAAATACACTACATGGTGTATTGCTGCGTACCCAAATTAGTTCACTGTGGATTAAGTTCACTGGGACCTACTTAACGAAGTAATATTCAAAATGAGACCTTTATTGTCCAAAATAATAATAGAAAAAGAGATTGATAAAAACTGTTCTTTGACCAAATTAAGTCACTGTGATTTGTTTTGAACATTTGACGTACATTATAAACATTTTCACAGGATTTAGAAATTAACATATATATTTGCTTTGTCCAAGATAGGTCAATGAGGTCAATATTTTTTTTAATAAGAGATTTAATTGAAATGTACTTTTCAAAATTTGACCTACATTATTGAAAATACCATTGAGTTCAGAAATGAGCATACATCCTGGTGGACCTGCAAATGTTTATGCAGCCTTTGCAAGGCTTTGTCAAGGCTTGCCTGAAAGCAGCATCAGATTACTAGGTCTTACCTTATTTCATAAACAAACAACTCGAATCCAACCGTTTGGATTGCGTTAAACGAAAGCGGCCCATGTCCATATTCTACGTTTGAATTTGACCCCAGAGAGTTATGACACATCGATATAGCCCGCAGTACTAGGCCTAGTGTGTACCTGGTATGTCGACAATTTGAAGAAAATATCTTAGCGTATTTACTAGGCAATGAAATGTATATCTAAAATAGTAACACTGAAGGACACTTCCTGATTCACCACAAATATAGGTTACACCAACACACATTTCATAGACAGCGGCAGTGTGCGTATGAAACATTATATTTAGATCGTATTGCTAGGTTAATACTCGTAGTACTAAAATACAAATATCACTCAATATTTATGTCAAATATCTACCACATAGACTGTTATCATTTAAAGCAAAGGTCGGCCATTCAACACTGGTATCTGGTTTAAAACATTCTTATTGTGTACCTCGATAGCTTTGTGAAGAGCGACCGATGGCTATACATAATATCACTTCACTACATTTAAAGAAAATTGGAAAATCCCGCAACTATCCTGAGAAATTTTAATAACATTAAATTGTACAAAAACCTTACCTTCTCTTCTTTACGTTCAAGTATCGTAATACATTATCTAAGCCGAATCAGTTCTCCGATAACAACGCTGTCACCAGCTAAGCACACGTGTCTACCAGGGGAAATATCAAAAACAAAGTGTAGTTGCTAAACAAATATCGACGTATCAACCTCTGTACTGACATGGAATTACACGTTTTCTGTATGATGACATTATCTGTTGGATACATTAAATATGTAGCATTGTAAGGAATATTTAATTTTAAAATGTAAATGTTTAAAACATTTGGTTTTGAATCCGTCCAATTATGTCTATATCAATATTGCAATATCACTTCTAAAATTATATCATTTATTTGTTCCTAAATTTATTTGTTTAAAATTGTTTTAAAAATTCCATTTTTGATTTACCTTCGTCACAGTGCAATGTGCGTTGCATAATACACCAAAAAGTAATTTCAATGGTCGACAATATCGGTTGTTTCGTATCTGGCAGACACTCGTGACGCGTGTATAATTTAGGGGTAGTAGAGAGGTAGTGATATCGGGGACATGGCAGCACTCGATCACACTGAAGATCTTACGGTATGCTCAATTTGCTTACAGACATTAACCATACCGAAATATCTACCATGTCTTCATACCTTTTGTGAACTTTGTCTACAAGGGTGGATAGAATCCCAGGTCACCAAATCAGGAAGAAATATCAAACAGGTGGAATTTACGTGTCCAGTATGTCGTACCAACACACGCCTACCGAGTAAAGCAACAGCGACCAACAAATCTGAATGGGCAAGTACTTTCCCTAGTAACCATATTATTGTATCACTGATTGACAAATCGATGATCGAGAAACAAAAGAAGTCTTGTGACCCATGTTCTGTAATGAAGAAAGACGTACAGGCTACCCAGTGGTGTGTACAGTGTTCGGAGGCTTACTGTGGTCCGTGTTCGCAGGTGCATCGGGGGATGAAAGCTACACGGAAACATAAACTTATTGGTCTACAGGACGTTCTAAGAGATTTAAAGTGTCTTTCGTTGGATGAAATGTGTAATGAGCATGCAGATGAAGTGATAAAACTGTTCTGCGTGGACCATGATCAGCCATGCTGTACAATATGTGGAGCAACATCTCATCGAAAATGCGACACAGTCCTGGAACTGTCCGAGGCAGCAATTAATATAAAAAACAAAAAAGAGTTTTCTGAGCTGTTGGCCAGCCTTAATGAATGTGAAAAAGACATCGGCAAAGCATCAATGACTCTTAAAGAACATTTGACACAGTTGGAGAAGAAAAAGTTTGACATAGAAAGATCTGCCGAGGAATTTGCTGGTACTCTGGTAACCCATACAAAGGCTTTACATAGCCATTTCCTGAAACAGCTTTCTGAGGCTCATTCGCGCGCAGTAAATGAAATAAAAACAAATGCTGAAGAATGTTCTCTACAACAAAAGGTAATCAGTAACTCCAGACAGATGCTGGAGAAATCGCGGGACAACAGTTCAGATACAGAACTGTTTCTTCAAGTGAAGAGAACAGAAGCAAAGCGTAAGGACACTGAAACATTTATTGAAAATGAAATGTCAAAAATGACCCTGAAACAGGTGAAGTATTCATTATCTGAAGCGCTTCAGGAGTATAAAAACGTTAACTCTTTCGGTGATGTTACTGTGTCAAATGTATATAGTGTTGCTTTGTCCAAGCCAACAAGCAAATGGTATAAGGATGGGCTCCACCGTATGCATGTAACCATTTGAAGTGAATAAAAGTGACCCAAGTAGAAAACCGACACAGAATAAAAAAAATTACATAAAAATCCAACACCAAGACACATGCAGACCCAAAGTCGTTGAAAAATTTCCAACGTTTAGGTTCAAATTTCTACGGATTTATGTTCCTGTAGGGGGACATGATTATATATTTGGAATAATGCAAATATATAGCGATAGCTGCATATGACATGGCGGTGGTCAATTTTGTTTTGATGTGATCATTTTGTTTTTATAGTTATTATAATATTATATATGATGATATCAGCATATTTCATAAGCAGTAGTTTTAATTTTTTGTCATGTTCATTAGGAACTCTTTATCTCTTTCTGATATGTTTTGATATGTAATTATTCATATTCCTGTCTTGAATAAATCCTTTGTCTTTACTGTCGTTATTGCTTCCTTGCTTATATATAAATAATTACTTTTATTTAAATAATGTTTCAGTAATATTGATTCGATTCAGACATTTATATTTTTCATGTCTTTCAAAACATTCAAGACTTTATCTTTTCAAAAAACAAAAGACAAAAGACGTTTTCATGATTTTGCGCAAGCCTCCTGTTTATTTAAGATAATGTGTATACCGTGGAACCTATGGTGGAATTAAAAAGTGATTTTAGAATGCAACATTGATGATTTCTCAGTCTATATCACTTAACCCCATTAGTATACCATAAGTACATATTATCTCCATATGAAACCACATTTAAGAACTATTAAAATGAAATAGAAAAAAAAAAAAAATCCTCTGAAAAATGGAAGAATCACATACCTGGTACTACCCCTCCACATATCCACACGTGTTAAACATCCATACGTTTTCCACACGTATTTTCTTCCCTCACGTTAATCCTAAAAAGTCACCCATATGTATGCCCCCTTAAAATCCCCAAACATACCAACTTGCTAAGGGCATGCAAACGTGTTTCCTCTTACATGTCCATCAGACTTATTACTTCCATTGGGTCCACACGTAGTAGAAAGTATATCGTATGCCGCTGATAAAATACAATAAACTTCGAATTCTTTCTTCAATATAAATTATACAACTACTTTAAAGAACATCCATAGATGTAATGTCCCCTCTGAACTTAGGTAAAACCTATGGTGTAAACTATTTCTATTAAAAGTGACCTTAGTCGATCACGAAAAGAAAGTGTTTTGACACACGGATGGGCGTTGATGTTTCCTTTTCCAGCGATTTGGTCACGTTTCTATGGGGGTGACTTTTTCATAGGTCGAACGACTAAAATAGCAGTGGGTGTATTTTCTACGGAATGCCGGGAAGGATCTCTTTTAAGAATTATGACCCCAGGTCAGATTTCTAAAAAGATCCCCGGGTAGGTTTTCTACAGGATTCAATTTTTCATGTTACACCGGCAGTTGCCTAGCCCACGTTATTCCACATAAATACATACGTTTACAGTAAACAGTTTAATATTGCCGAAGTGTGGTTGTTTAAATTGTTACATAAACAGAACATTTCTAAGTAGTACTTCACTTATATACCAATGCTCTTTTTAGTCACCAAGCTAACAGATATAATGTCAGCTGTCTGTCTCATTGATTTGTTCTCACTTTAACATGTACCAGTGAAATTAACGTTTATTGACATTATGGTATAATCTTATTATCATTATGTTTCTAGTTGACAGCAAGTGATTGACGTTGGTTTGCTACTAAGTGTATTTCCCAAAAGGGGAACATATTATGAGTTTTATCTCTCATTATGATCCAACATGAATAAAATGAGTTTATATACACGGTATGTGATTATTTTAATGTTGGTTATTCATGATCTCCACATGCAAATTATATCATATCACGTGTCCTCTGCTTCGTAATGCATAATTTTCATCTTTATGTAGTAGAAGTAATTACAAGAAAATCATCTGACACTAGTGAATGAACATTTCAATATCGATTTGACATTTTGTTTTTATTTAGCATGGCATATCCGAATTAGACAGTTTTCTATCTATTCAGAATTTGCGACCAACGAGATGGCACGATTACGAATGAAAGTGAAGTATATATGGCAACATAAATCCCTACTGTAAACTTTTTGATTCTGTATTGTCTGCTTGTCTCGTATAACCATTTTTATCGTTTGTGTTTTTTTTGTTTTTACAATCAATTGTATCATTTTTATGACTATGTTTGATATATATTATGTGTCTCCAATAACAACATGTTTATGTACTTCAGTTAACAAGTCACATAAGCTGAATATTCAGTTGTGCAATGGAGAGTAAGGACGTCTCAATGATATATCAGTTTTAGGTCACATGAGACAGAGCCTTTTCAACCGTCACACTGAAGTTATTCAATAAAACCATACAGGAAACTTTCATGACGAAAAAGAAAAAAAAAACGAATTATGCGGTTACCGCCCCTTTCCATGTGTGGGGTCTAAAGAGATCAATTTGGCAAAACGTTCAGCAATCTGCCTTTTCAGACTCGATTATGCAAGAACTAAATACGCTTCATAATTGTTAATTTTATTGAAATATAAACTTTATTCATTTTACAATAATTATTAAGAAGATTTACAACTTATCTTTATCAGTCTTGTTGGCCCGGATATTAGCGCGCGGGTCTTTATGTGGGAGGTACCGGAGTACCCAGAGATCCCACGTGGTCAGGCAGGTGGCCCATACCATTTTACGTCCGATCGGGGAATCAAACCCTATTCGCCTTGGTAAAAAGGCAAGTGTTCTATCCTCTGCGCTACCTGAAGACTAATTCTAGGGGGTTACGTTATGCTTAAATTTATATTCATTGAAATGATTCTTTTAGAGATGTTTTGGTTATATTCTGCAGGAATCATCCAGACTTGGTAGGAATAATAATTCGATATGGCAGTTAAAGGTTTGAAAATTAAGACCCTGACCAACTCCTTAGGCCTGAGGGCTAGGTTCAAAAGGCTTGAATTGGCTACGATTTTACATTTTTCTTATGATAGAACTAAGTACTCCTCCTAGATGGAAATGTTCTAAAGTGCTTTATCAAATTATGTTTATAATATCACTTCCCAATATCATATGGCAAATTGGATTTCAATCATATGAACCTAAAGTACAAGTCATTCTTCAATATCCAACAGAAATCAGGTTGATTTTGAAATAATCTGCTAGTGGCTGTGTAAAATAGCTCAGTAATGTGATACAGCATTTTTACCTAAGTAACATCCTTGGTTTTCTATGTTCTTGCAACATGTAGGGTTATAACAAGTACATTAAATCCTTTACTGGTTAGGTCAGTGTTTATGACGTTCTGCACACTGGTCTTCACGGATGTTCTACTGAGATAAGATAGCTAACACTCTAATCGAACTCATTATCAGGATCTGTTTAGTCCTTATCTTAACATTTCATACTTCGTTTAATACAATAGTGTATTTTCAAGCAAAATTTTGAAGATGAACAGCTTTCTTACCGTATGCGTTTTCATCGTCGTTGGAGCATCAGTATGTGATGGGCAATGTAGAATGATGCGTCCTACTCCAGGTTAGTATGTAACAGGTGATCAATCTAGATATTTAGACAGATACACTGAAAACTGTCTACCTATGTTAGTATCATACTAATATAATGACTTTAGTATATCTAGTCAGTGGCGGACCCCAGACGTATTGTCTTACCACATAAGTGTTATAGGTACGTAACTATATCTAGTCAGTGACGGACCCACAGATGTATTGTCTAACCACATAAGTGTTATAGGTACGTAACTATATCTAGTCAGTGACGTACCCACAGTCGTATTGTCTAACCACATAAGTGTTATAGGTACGTAACTTAATCTAGTCAGTGACGGACCCACAGACGTATTGTCTAACCACATAATTGTCATACGTTCGTAACTATATCTAGTCAGTGACGGACCCCAGACGTATTGTCTTACCACATAAGTGTTATAGGTATGTAACTATATCTAGTCAGTGACAGACCCACAGACGTATTGTCTAACCACATAAGTGTCATACGTACGTAACGATATCTAGTCAGTGACAGACCCACAGACGTATTGTCTAACCACATAAGTGTTATACGTACGTAACTATATCAAGTCAGTGCAGACCCACAGACGTATTGTCTAACCACATAAGTATTATACGTACGTAACTATATCTAGTCAGTGACAGACTCACAGGTGTATTTTCTAACCATATATAAATAAATATATCTAGTCAGTGACGAACCCACATACTGTCTGGCCCTGTAAGTATTGCACACAAATACCTATATCTAGTCTGGTAAAAACGTACAAACATGTTGCCTGACGTTGTAAGTATCGTACATATGTTATTACTATAGTTTAATATATATATCAGGGTTCTCCCCAGGCCATTTAGCTGATACGGCTCCGTATCAGCTTCAGTTTGAAATCCTCCCTGCCGTATCAGCTTAATTGACCCGTATCACCTTAAACTGTGAACCGTATCACCTTGTTATTTGTACTGAACAGAAGGTGGTCTTTTTACACAAGAAATTGACACTGATTAAATCACACGGCTGACCCAAGTCCATCAATGACCCCACTGGTCAGTTGCACGATAAGCGTATTGCAACAGGGGGCCTGTAATTAGTGGGGAGGGGGACCGGACGACAAGCCCACAGGGCACAGGTGTCCGGCAAGCGTGCTCACTGGAGCCTAAAGCAATTACCACCGGATCCTTTTAGCATGGTCAATAGGTGATTAATTGAGGTACCTACTG